CATACATATAGTTCATAGACAGTGCCCCCAAGGGACAGAAGTCCTGAGTTCCAGTACAGAAGGGTGTGGAACCCTCAGAACTGAAGGTACGAGAGCAGAGAACTGTAACATATACACATAGTAAGACATTAGATGCATTTATCTGAAATAAATGTTAATAGGTTTCTTACTCTTATACTAGTCTTATTAATAAGTTATAGAAGCTAAACATAGAGTACAGAGTTGATAAGTTGTAAAAGTTTGGCTTTAGACTTGAGGTCCATACTGAATGTAAGGTTCTTGTGTTTCTCATTTTATATAGTCTTATTGTGTTCAACTTTATTTCTGTAACAAAACTCAACTGTCTTAACTGTTTCAATTTTATTAAGTGTTATAACAAGATTGTAGAGACTATAGGCCTACAGACATATTATTTGTACAGTTTACACATACAGGCCTACACTTAGATTGTACTACAGACTCTAATCATACTACAGATCCTAGAAGAAATGTGTAAAGTTGTAGAAGATTACTTTTACAATCTTATACTACTAAATCAGTTGTGTACTCTTTCTGAGAGTAGTTCTAGTAGTTTCAAAAAGAAGATATCTGTAAACATTGACTAGGCTAGGGTTCAGAAGGATACTCATAATTAGTAAGTGCTTTTTCTTTTCATTTTCATTTTTATTTCAACTATTATATAACTTATACTTATAATAAGTCTGTTTTATACTCTACTACTTTGACTAAGTATAAGTATTAATTTCAACTACTTTCTTACTGTCTATTACTATGTACTTTCCTACTTTCTACTACTATGTACTTTCTTACTGTTTACTACTTACTACCTATTACTGTGTAACAAATCTAATATTTTTATATAAACTATATTTGTGTTCTTCTAAGATAAAACCAGGCTGAATTTACTTGCACATTCTACAGTAATATGTATGTATCTAATATTAGTTAACCATCCCTCCTGTAGATCCATTCAATTCACTTATACTAACTCAATTGTTGCCTTCTTTTAAACAAAAGGTACAACAGGAGTAGACTTTTAAGAGACTATTATAACTATATACTCTACTTACCCCTCTAGTTACTCCTACATTGTCTACTTCTCTCACCAGTTATAGAGTAGACAATGTTACTATGAATGAGACTTTCAGTGTATTTACTACTCTAGTAAGAGGACCTACATTACCTCTGCCTACATTCTCATTTACTAGCCTTTTTAATAACTTACTCTTTATGTTTATAATGTCTCATATAAGTCCTCTCTCTCTTGTTACTATCAGTCCTAACACTAGCACAAGTGTTGAACTGGGGGACTAGAATAGCCTACACTATCCTTACTATAGTGTAGTTGTCCAATTCTATACTGTCTAGAGAGGGTACTAACAAAAGTGTTAGTAGATCTTTAAGAGTAGTAAACTTACTATATAGTAAAAGAGACAATAATACTGTTAGTTTTAGTTAGTCATTCCTTACTACAGATTGTGATATTATGAATGGGAACTCTAGAGATTCTGACACAAGTGCAAATTCTGAAGGCAAAAGATCCTTACTTGTGAATACAAATAGAACCAAATGAACTTACAGTACTACTCTCCTTCCCTTTATAGTTATATAGAAATGTGAAAGGGCTTAGTCTACAGTTCTTAGCAACAGATAGTGTTGCCATTCTTGCCTTCTACAATTTTTTTGTAGACATACTATTTACAGATTGTCAGATTAACTCAACAGGACAGATATGTAAGTGTAGACTTTATAGTAAGGAAATGGAAGCTGTTACTTTGAAGTAAGCAGGATTCTAATACACATCTCCTTTCCCTCAATTGTACTGTATAACCTAACCCAGCTAATACATGACTCAGGATTCATTAATGAGACTGAGTGTAAAGTTACAGTTACTGTGAACAGAAACATAAATGTGAACTTGAACTGTGTCTTTTTTGTATTAATACCTTGTGAAAAGTTACAGAATATCAAATCAATTAGCCTGCCAACCTCTGTAATATTATAACATGTCTTTTAATATATAATAACAATGATTTTAAGAGCTTACACATAATTTATAAGGCTTAGTTGTGTATGTTACAGAATTGTTTTTGTTTAAAATAGTGATTCTGTTAGTATCTACTAGCTAAACTTGTAATGTATCAAATCAAGTAGTCAACTAATCTTTATAAGATTCATACATAACATTCTATAGATAGTAGTAGAAATTTAGAGTGCCTAATTGTAATTTTTGGTGGTCAATTTTAGATACTACAGTTTTTACATATTCAGGATGGTTATGTTGAGTATTATCAAATAAGTATAGTTTTAGTTATATAAGTCCAAGTAATCATTCTTATCTCAATTTTTTTTACAGATATATACTATAATAGTCAAAATATAATTTTTAAATATGTCATATACATGTACTATAACACTTTTGAGAAGTAATCTACAAATCTTTTGAATTTTAGTTAAGGTGAACATCTTGTAACACAAATCACATAATATATTGCCATTCTAAGAAATTATACAAGTAGTAGTAATAGATTTAGTATGGATTTCTAGTCCAAATTAAGTAGTAAGTCATTACTCTATATACTACTTTGATAGTACTTCTCTGACTTAAATAACTTTACTGTAACTTATAAAAGCACTTATATTTAATATATTTTGTTTATAATAAAATTACTAAAATGAATAATACTCAGAAGAACCTTTCCTGAGTGTAGAGAGATTGGGGGAAAATGCTCAATTTTAGCAAACTTAAATATGTATTATACTTATATGTATATTCTGTATCCTAGCTAGAATTCAATATGTAAATTAACAATAAAGTTATATTCTTCATTTAGACTAGTTTATAGTATTGTGTAATCAGTTTTAGGGCTAGGAAAACTGATATAGATGAAAAATAGGGAAAACTCACATATTGTGTTGTATCTTACTCAATTTTTGCTCATTTTACTTTATGTTTTCTGAAATATAAAAGATACTTCAAAAGTATAATTTTTACAACTTAGATCATGTAATTTGGTTAGGTATTAGTTGAGTTATAGTAGATTTTGTATTTGAGTGTACTTAGTATAACAAAAATCACAAATCACATGTGTGACAATATTTATGAAAACAACAGTAATACTTGCTTGACAAAAATTATGTGACTCTTAACTATGACTCTAGGATGTACTCTATAGTATTGTATACAACTGAAAATAAATTCCACAGTAATAATATAATTTATAGGTTGTATTAGTTATATAAGGGTGTAGAACAATAAAAAATATACTAGAAATATAGTAAATATTACAAACCCAAATTAGATTTTGAAATTAGTATATAAGCTGTATAAGCTGTATATGGCAAATTTTTCACTTTGAAATACAGATATGTAAATAGAAATATGTGTGTATATTTGGGACTTCTAGACTACATATAATACAGTGTGCATACATATACACTAAAGGTATATGTGTATAATACACAATACTGCAGATCCCTAAGTCCTACTTGTCAAGCTACTACTAATAGTAAATACCTAGTAGCATATGTTAGAGTTTGGACTAATAGACTTTACTTATGAAGATTAAGGAGCTTTGGTTATACATACATTCTCAAGTGTATTCAACATATTAAAGGGGCTGTCAGACTCAGTACAAGTTATTCACACAGATTGTAACAGTATAGATCCAAAATTACAATCTAATGACTATTTTCACTAGTAGTATTCTCAGGCTCATACTAATGCAAACCAATGTCTGAGCCCTAGTTCAGAAATCAAGATGAGCAAACAGGTCAAATAATGAGGACTCAATAATCATACTCTGTTCTCCTGACTACTTGAGATTATATTAATATTAACCCTACACTCAATTGCCTCTGTCCTCTATACCTAGGAACCCATCATTTTACCAGTCTGTTCTGACAAGAAACCAAGCATACCTGTCATGCCTTGCTCTTGCATCACAAAAAAGGCTAAATGTATGTATGACCTTATAAATCATGTAATATACTATAGTTAATGTAGCTACTATATAGAGTAAGTACAAGACTTCTAAGCAAATACATAGTATATATACTTCTTATAGATTCATGTTATATACATACAAGTCAAATCTGCTGGTGTATTAATATTACAATTGATGTGATACACTTGTATTTAAGTATTAGTCATGTTTCTTTCTTACAATAATTTTTCAGACTAATATTAGTAATGTATAACATTTAGAAGAGTATTTAAGTACTTACAAGTTATGTACAAGTCATATCTATGTATATAAAAATCATAAACTATTAGAATTGAATGATGATATTAGTAAAGGTATTTCAATAATCATATAATTTTAATACTATACTAATTATATACAGATAAGTTAGACAAAGAACTAGTAGTAGGTTTATAATTAATTCAATATTGTGTTATATTATTATAGTAGAAATAACTGTATTTATAATACATTTTATAATGAATACAATGTATCTATAACCAAATATTCAACGTGTATAAATTATTTGAGCACACGTTCTTCCTTCCCTCTTTGCTTATGTAATCAACTGCTGAAGATCGAGAGCATATAATAACGCACTTGCTCTTGTCACTTCTTTATCTCGTACCTCTACCATCTCCTCCAACTCTCTAGACTCTACCCCTAACACTTTGTTGTCGTGTTCGTTCTCTCCTCTAGCAGGCACTCTGCCTGCAACAATATAGACAACAAACATTGCTGCAACTCATCTCTCCATTCTGCTGCTGCATGCCTGTACTGAGCCTCAGATCCTGTATTGTGCCACCAAGCTGACTCAGTGACTACACCGTCCTTCAACGATAAAAGAGTAAGCAGCTAGTCTACTTCATAAAAACCTGCACACTAGTTGCTCATCTCTCTCCTCCCAACTTTTTGTCTTCCCTCCATCCTTCTGCTCATCACTGCACCTCTTGCATTGCCTCTCCTTCGTTGTCCTCCTTATTTGCGTTCTCCCTCCTTTTTGCATTTGCATTCGCACATCCCCATTTCTGGCCGATGCCGAACGACTTCTCCAATAATTTCACACATTCGAGTACTTCCCGCTGTGCAGCGCAAGCAATAATCGACGAACACACACTCGCGACAATGTCCATGTTCGTCTACTCCCATCATGCCACCCTCTGTCTTCTCTGTACGCATTCTCCTTCCCCACTCGTTCAATGCCTGACATCACTCTCGATAGGCCCACACCGCGTGCATTTACATTCCTCTGTGCTGAGCTTGACACCATTTCGAATAGCGGCAGCAGTGGCCATTGCTCACCCCTCCTGAGCCGAGTCCGTCTTGACCATCCACTTCACCCTCTCCCTTCGAGTCAGAACGTCCTAGAGATACACCTTTGAAGTCATTCACGACTACTACTCAGTTCATTGCACCTCTGATGGAACGTCGAGGTCAGAGCATGCATTGTGCATGTACAGACACGGCTTTGCTCGCTGCCCAAATCAGCTCGTTCAACGCTCCGAATCTCAACCCTGGTGCATAACTCACACTCGCTGCACACCGCTACGGTACATCCTCCTTTTTGCTTCAAGTACCAGCACACGCTAACATTTCACTCCCAACTTAGTAAGTCAATCTCACAACCTGTCTGACAAGCACACGGTACACACGCGCAACTCGGCTCGCTGGGACTGAGCGGCAACCAAGGCGTGGTGACGAAGGCTACATCAATCAGCTTGAGAACGCATTTATTCTTCCGTTGCGAATTCTGCCTGCGAAGTTGAAAGACGGATCCTGGTTTGTCTATTACCCGATATAAATATTGTAGATAGTACAGGTATGTAGCAAAAGTCTTCGTCATTCCTTAAAAGGTAGATGTATTTGTAAGTGATTTGCATGCCATACATAGAAATTAGATGTAGATCAATGCTTTGATCAACACATTGTGAAGTACAAAAAAATACAGAATTTTGCATTAATTTCACAAAATGGCTTGTAATTTCATGTTTTTTTTGTGTGTATAATGTGTTCATGTATGCTAGATATGTAAGACAAAGGTTTGATGTGTCTCTTACAGCCTTATAAGTCAATGCAAATCACTTACAGATACACTTACCTTTTGAGGAATGACAAAGACTTTTGCTACATACCTGTAGTACATGTATTATTTACTATTTAATATATTATATTTTGAATTTATAAAATAAATGGTGTGACAAGGTGCTTATTATATGAGCTAGACTTACAGTACTATATTATACTCATAAGATCATACAAGAATCTACCAGCTATTACAGAAATCCAGAAGAATATTATTATATTGTCATATTGGAGGAGGAATACATACACTTTTAGTTATCTACAAGATATAGATTACTGTTTATTGAATATATGTTGTATAAGACTTGTAGTTCTTGTAGTATCTTCTTGTGGCATGTCATTTTTTAGGAGGAAAGCATGCATAGGTATATATTTTAAATACTTTACAAAATCTACTGGCATACATGACCAAACAAGAGTTTGGCCTTTTTTGTGATGTGGATTGTATGCTTGTAGATAGTTTGGGGCCCAAGGGAATACTATCTAAATGGATACTTGTGAGCTCACTGTTGTTGTTGAGTCATTCCTGAAGTCTCGAGCGAGTATTTAAACTGTGTACAATAAATCAAGGGGAAGGCAGAGATGAAAGGTAACGGGAACGAACGAAACAAGCAGGCAATTTGTGTACATTGTCAACAAGTATGTAAGAATAAGTTCTCATGTTCTGGTTTTTGACGACACACAATAAGGACCATTTACAAGGAAAATAGCATATACTAGGGTGTTTGGTGATATCTCAGCAGCAATCAATTATCAGGATGACAAGCACCAAAATACCAGTTATTAGACTTGTGCTGATCACATATATGATAAGTTTTTTCATGATTGAATCGGTCTTGTCGAAGCCAGTTCGCTGCTTGCTGAACAGGACTCACTCCGAAGGTGTAAATATAAGAAGCAGAGCTAGCAAGTATAACATATGACTCACAATACTATATGTGTCTTACAAAGTGTGCTTGTACCATAGTATTAATGGTAGCAGCAATAATTGCATCATCATCTAGTGCCCTAAGAACACAACACAATAAGCAGCTGTTGACTAAGGTAATGAAAGTATTAAAATACTCACTGAGGATTCAAATTCTCAGAATTTCCGGACTCCTTAAGTAACAGAACATACACCAACTTGACAAGAAGGGCAAGGTACACTGTGTTGAGCGCCCAGACGACACCTACATAAAACTTGAACCAAGGCCTATCCACTTTTGTATGTTCCTATGGGCCAGATATTCAACAACATCTCAATGAACGTGGAGTCAGCGATATTACTTCGTAGTAATAGAATGTCTGCACACAAAGAGCTCCCCAAAGGCTAATGAAAGGTTAGTTGGTAAGTATTATCATCAGAGTAGTACTCACATTGCTGCAAAACTTAATCCATGCATGCAGATTTTGAGAACTATAGCGAAACAAATAAATGGGAAATCATACATTGTACCTAATAATATGCAGCCAGACTATGAGAAGCAATGAGTTACTTTGAACATGCTAGTACAGATCCTGAGAGATACTGTTTCATTCAGATTCGTTTGAGAACGGGTAAGGAACATGTGTAGAGGTCGGCCAGTAATGCCAAAGTGTCCCAAGTGAGGAATAGACAGCTAAGCAGAGTAAAGCCTACGTGAGGATCACAGGCATGCATTGTTATATGACTGACGGAAGCTTAATATAACACTGGCCATGAGGACAGGAGCTTGGAGATGGGGTTATGGTGCTCGTCCATGATCGCACTGCATTGGATTGATGAATGTAGTGATCCAAACAGTGGTACTGGAGTAGACAATGAATATCCGAAGCAACTCATGAGAAGCTTTAATCAAGCTTTATCTGCAATATGTCGAATGAAGGTGATGCAAAGATGACCCATTGAAATTGGTTTGATAGATAAAAATAATGTGTCACTGTGTGGATATTGCGAACAATTCACCAACTCAACAGATTCATGTGGCTATCACCTCTCGTGTTGCACAACAGTACCGAATAAAACTATGCAACGGTCATTTCGAGGTATTTTAGACGTACAGTCGTATCCTGAAAATATCCCAAACCGAAGAATACCGTGGCGGTTAAGATAGATACGCGTCCGTAATTCAGCCGTAAAACATGATATAAATAATCATTGCGGGATTGACGGTGCTACACTCCTCCAGAATCTATAAGACAATAGCAGGTTACCAGGGCAGTCGATGAGGAATAAAGATATCTACTAACTCGCATCGCTCCAGCAAGCCCGGGTCGGTAGTAAATGACAGTATATCCGGCTGGAAGTCTTCCGTCCTATTGAAGAGCATCTCCGTATTGCCTTGATTGAATAGCTCCCAGTTCGGAGTTATATCGTTGGCAACAGGATGCGTGTTGGGATCTCCAAATTTGACGAATCCGAGGAATGAGCCAGCGAAAGAAGCGGAGAACTGGGGGTTATTAAACGGCGGGCCGCTGTGTAGAGCATGGCCATCAAACGTTGTATCTGATCAATCGATGAAGTTATGATGTACTCACGTGGTTCCTGGGAAGTAATAAGCGACATCATTGCCGTGTTCACCAGGCGGAATAGCAAACAAGCCCTGCAGGTAATGTTTTAGCCTTGAGATAGAACTACGTAACAGTATTATCACCTTGCGAGAGCGCCCAGGGAACGCCGCAAGCAAGCGATACGTTGGACAGACGAAGATAGCTAATACAGATTAATAGTAGGTGGTAGTAACATTAGAGAATGAACTTACACTCTCCCATGATCGCGATTGCCTGATCGTTGACGGTGTTCAGCCCAATATTCGTGTATTGCTGCACGGCTTCCCCGATTTGCGTTTGGTTAAACAGAGGGAAGAGCTGGGTAACATAATCCGTGACCGTCATCTGAGCAGAGAAGTTCGCATCGACGAAAATTGTGCCCTCGAAAGCATTGGTCATCGCTAAGAATGTGTTCTAGCGCATTTCAGCATATGATAGGCACGCCATCGTTGATAAATAGCCATAAACGTACCACATTGAGCCTTCCACGTTCAATGGTTTGGATGGGTCGTTCAACAATCAAATCTCCATCAACTACTGGGACCATGACGAATGTTCCGAAAAAGCCGGATTCGTTTATCACAACGTTTGCGCCTTCGAGTGTTCCAGCATCAGCATCAACGAGGCACTGGAAGGTGTCATTAGCGTTGGCACAACTACGGAACAGGCAGTTTAGCGTTAGAGCGACAATCATCACAATGTACGGGATCACCTACCCAGTCATCTGCACGAATTCGGAATAAAGTTTCTATGATGATGGTTTAATATGTCAATGCAATATAGACGGCATACACCAGCAACCTACCTCCGGGACTAGATCGTTGAAGTTATACTGCGAGGGTAAGAATGTGGAACTCGTGATCGCCTGATGGAATAAAGGTGGTTGTGTGTTTCCGCCGTGTGCGACCAGGTGCTGAAGTACCGACCCAGCGCCTAATGCAAACGAGCATCCTCAGCACGTAATAATGCGCCTGAGGACGGTAAATCCACCGACGTACCTGCCGACTCTCCCCAGATCGTTACTCGATTTGCGTCACCGCCAAATAGGTGGATCTGATAAGACAGCCTGTCAGGCATTATATCTTGATATTAGATCATGAAACTTCCTTACGTTCTTTTGTATCCATTGCAGCGCGAATTGCTGGTCGACTGTCGGTGTATCAGCCTCGTTTCAATAAGCGATGTGTATTCATCACTTACGCAAGCCAGCATTCAATGCACCGTTCTTTTTCACTTCAGATCCAGGGAGGAACCCTAGATATAGAAAGCTTTGATGAATAGAATGAATGACATCACCTCGAGCAAAAACTCACCAAGCACGCCCAGGCGGTATTCAAGTTCCACAGCGACGATACCTCCGCCAGCTTCTCTGACAAGATCAGCTCCATCCATCCCGGCCGTACTAAGCGCAACGTAACTGAATGAAGTAAATTAGAGCCGAGTCCATCGGAAAATCGGCTTCCACATACCCGCCTCCATGAATCCAAAACACGACAGGCATGCGCGCTTTGGGATTTATTTCTCCAGAAACATGAACACTGCATAAACAACAGAACGTTAACTGAGGCAAGAGACTACTTTTAAAACAGCATACTTTAAGAACAGACAATCCTCGATCTTCGTAGTCTGCCTGCGATTATTGTTCGACAATCCTCGGAATGGGGTTGTTATATTGTTACCCTGCCCAGCCATAGGGCATGCCGGGGGTTGCGTGTTCGCAAGTTGCACGCCTTGTGCCCGCATGTTGAGCGGTGGTGCCGGGGCTTGGAATCGAAGTTTTCCTGTGAAAGGGTCAAATCAATGTTAGAACGTTTGGTAAACATAACGGGTCATGTTCAAACGGCTGACCAACTGGAGGCGCTGCATAACGAACAGAAAAGAAATCCGTTATGTTAGATGTAGAGTTGAATGTTCCTTGGTAGATCGCATATCCAAGGTCGACAACCTGTGGCGAATCTGCCTGTACGACAGATGCCAGACTAAAGGCAGCAAGGACTACGGACAGCACCCCAGCGCAGCGCATTTTCAGAGGAGAACGGAACTATCCCTGTTCCTTGAGAATAATGCACATTAATGTCCAGCCCGGCTATTTGTACCATGGTCGTCAGATGTAGATCGGAAAAGACGGTGCGTGTTGGGATCACGAGTCAATATGGACCGACGTCTGCATAGGTACCCATGAGTATCAGTATGCAGATAAATGAAAGCCATTCACACACATCGGAGGCAGAAGCCATCTACGAGCGATGGTCAGGTCTCAGAATCCGTTCTCTAGAATAGAACATCAACCGGGCGGCGAAGAGCACTACAGGCTTGACTGAGGGCCAATAAGACATTTTGTTGCAAGATAAACATGAGTACGCTCTGCGCCAACGTCGGTCACGAGAATAACTCGAATGAATCCGGGCGGGGCGGCGGCGTCAGTGAAGCGCTGCGTTGATATATTTAGCATGCATTCAAAAAAGACTGCGAAAGTGTGAATGCAGGCAGCCAGTTAGAACAGCAGAACAGCCTCACCGGTTCAAACGTATACGCAGATAGTTCTGCCGAAGTGTCTCCGTTTATGGGCTGCGCAGCATAATTGCACGCGATTGTGTTTATTTGCAGTAGACGATGCAGGTCTTAGACCTCGACTCGCATCGACTTGGCGAAGCGAAACAGAATTACCGCAACAGTAAGCGAGAAGGCAGAGCAGCAGATATTTCAATCACTATGTGCCTTTTGCACGTCCGTAGCCTTGGCCATGAAGCAATCACACGTTAGATTCAGTGAGCCGTGAAACTTCAAACTTGAAAGGCGATGTTGTACACCTTGTCGATTACACAGACAGACTACCGAACGAACGACATCGAGTATGATTTATCGATTATGTAATCTAGTTTACATCATCTGATTGACCTATCCGATCCTCCACTTTTTTGGTGACAATTTCAAAGAGTAAAGCAATCATTCACGTTCAGTTAGTTTTATTAGCTACAAAAAGCTTCTGAAGAGTATATATGTCTCCTACACCCATACACTTATTCTTTGAAGGTCAAGTCTTATATGAAAGGAAATGCACTTGAAGAAGAAAGTCATCCCGACCCAGTTGTCCTCAGGAGTGAAGGTACTAAATAAACGGAACAATGGGGACTGATGACATAAAATGTCTAGTAATTGACCGATTTAAGGTAGTCTGCAAGCTTCTCGACAATTGTTGTCGCTTCGCCAGCTTGAATGGGCGCAGTGTATTCGGTAACCAGTACAGCCTGCTTCGTCTTCACCAGGACGCACCCATCGGCCTTTGTTACATCCACGCAGCGGCGACAGTGAAAATCCAAGAACACCGCGATGGAGATGATGAGTATAGTTGGTTCGCGCCATACGTCAGTGCGCAGTTCTGTGCAGAAGGAACAGAGTCACGTACACCTTTCTTTCCATACACATGCTGGTCGGATGCCTGCAGCGTGAAGAACTTTTGACCAGCTAGCTTGACACCGTGGGCTTGTGCCTCATCTGGGCGGGCAAATGAGTCCACGACAGCCTTCTGCTCCTCTGCCGTTAGCTATTTCAACGTAGTTTGACACGCATTCAATCCAGTGCGTGATGGAAAGTTTCCGGTGCATTGAGAATGAGAAGAGCGAATTTCACCATTCAGTATGGCTTGAGGGCATGCAGGAAGACGACAACACGCACGTTATATCCGGCTGACGAAGCCCATACGCCACCTTGCAGCCCAAGGATTGCAGCACGCGATATTTTGCCCGTACCAACGAGGTTGTCATCAACGTAGGCTAAGCACCCATAGCAAAGAGTCGCAGTCGGACATGAAAGACAGCAACGCAGTGAGTATATGCGCACATTATCCATCGAAAGCTCAAAGGGTTTGTTGCTGACCTTGCCAGGACATGTTGATGCTCGGTATTCAACAGACGATATGTATGATAGAGGACGCAAGGGAGGATAGAAAAGTGTGGAAAGGCACCAGTTCGTTGACGTTGAAAGGGTAAAAGGTTGCGATCTGATAGCCATCGCAAGCCGCCAATACACAATGCGACATAAGAGGTAATTTCGTCACGTGAGCTGCGTCACGCTGGAAATTAGAACACTCGTTTGTTCTCTGTCCCCTAGACGTCCACTGGTCTTTGCCATTCCTTCTTGCCGCTCTTGCGTAGCAGAAGATTGAACAGAACATAGCGTATCTCAGGCTCTCATTATAAGTCCAATATCAATATGTGAAACCCATCAACGACGTTTTCTAGTCTAGCACAGTGGGTGTACTGAGTGTAGGAAACACGAGATAGCAAGATGCCAAAGAAAGAGAAGGCCTCATAAAATGCAGATTAGATGCATCCATTGATGACAGATGAATGTAGAATCTTCACATCCGCTCATCCTTAGAATCCTTAGTTTTCCTTATAATCATAAGTTATGTGAATTTGTCGCTCAATGTGCATCTGTATATTCTGATTTGTCTAGTCAATATTGTTTGGTGGAGAACAGCCTTAGGAACGTTAATCAAGTGATTTTGACTCTTCATCCGTCTCTGAAGCTTCCATTAGCTTAGTGTACATACTGTCAATAAGGCCAACACGGTACTCTTGTTGCAAGCCTCAACGTGTAACTATCACCTCTGACCAGGGTGTCTCCATTTCCTCCTCCTCTTCCCTGATCATTATCCGTTGTTCAGTGCTCTCGAAACGTCTGTTACATTATACAGTCCCATACAAACCCTGGTTCTGATTCTTCCGAACAGTGAGGCCCTCGTATCTTGGCTGTAGGTCTGATGAATACACCGCCTTGCTTTTTGCTCATTGAAACAGTTTCTGAAGGTATTATGAGCTCACCTCTCACCTTGCCTCAAACAAGTATAAGTAGAAGGCTGAGCAATCAGAACATCTGTAATGTACACTTCCTTCTACAGCCTTGTTATTACGACACTGTTGAATGTGTGGGATTGACGTCACGTGCACAAGGTCTTACCGAGAACGGAACTTTAAGGAGGAAGCCGTTCAATTTTCAAATCAAAAGTAATCTTCTCTTTTGTGTTTGCTTGCTTCTCCGAGAGGCATACACTTCTTTATTCATGCTTCAGCGCGCCTTGTCTCTTCAGCGCTGCTTGGCATTACTGGTCTAGATAAGAGACAAGCACTGTCGAATATTCAACACACTGATATGCTTATCGCACTGCAACCGATAATGACACACCAGCGAGGAGAAAAGATAAGGGTATTGAAGAAGCGCTCAGAGTTGATCGAACTATCGCCTCGCGGCCACTGGTACTTAAGATACATGACTTCTTGCACAGCGTTCTGTGTCCATATCTCTTTCTTCCTGTACCACAAATCACGAATTCGAAGGAGCCTCTGGCCACGCAATGTCGGAAATATCAACCGTTCTTCCTCAAGGAGCGGGCTATGGAGTCGGTGAGCACCTAAGCAGTAGCGGAATGACCACAAGCTTACGGTAGATTGACCGCAGTTGTCGGTATGCTATAATCTTCAATATCAGCTTACCTGCTGAACTCCCGACAGGAATCGGGCTCTTCTTTAGCGTTCTTATGCTCGGCCTTACGGCCATTCAATCGCGCTATACTCCCTTTAAGCCATCTAATAATGAAGAATTCAGTAGTGCATCACGTAGCGTGAAGCCCGGCTTGATCGCTTCTGGAATTGTCTCGGCATGGACATGGGCCGCGACGCTAGTAAGTGTAATCTCAGTTACAATCATGCCCTTTCTTTTCCATCCGGAGCCATTGATGTGCGGGTTTGGACTGATTGCTACCTGCTCGGATCTGAACGAGTGGCAAGAAATCTGTGTCTACGAAAGCCTGGGCACTAATGCAGCTCGACTTAAACAGCTCCAGTCTAGTGCGGTCGCTTATAAATACGGTATTTCCGGTCCGTGGTGGTACGGGGCTGGTGCAACAATCCAAGTTTTGCTCTTCGCGCAGGTGAATGACCTTAATTTGACGGCACCACCCGCTGTGTTTTGCAAATATTTTCCATTGCTAACTGCATTCCATATGGCTAGCTCGCGGCCAAGATGAAACTGAACGCCCCGAATGCACACACATGGCTGGAAATTGTTGGTAAACGGTGGGGAACTGTTGCACACCTGGTCTTCATGTTTTTCGGGTACGAGCGGCGATTCTAAATCTTTCTATATTAGTTTCACCTAACGATATTCCATTCAGTCTTGCGACTAATATCATTGTATCAGCAATGCTTATACTCGGTGGCTCTGCTACGGTCACTGATTTGACAGGAATGAGTACTATTGCGGTATGCTACATAGGAGTTTTGAACTACGAGATTACAATTGAATGGAATGAGATAGGCGTGTTTCCTTATTCCTCTCGGAGTCGCGATCTATGTCGTAGCTGGGGGCATGCGTGCGACCTTACTTTGTGATTAGTGAGTGAATTGCTGTCCCTAGCGTTTAAAGCTCTAAGCTTAGCAATCACTCCGGGCTAGCACGCATACTACGGTTCTCTTCGCCATCATTTTGACATTTGTCTTCACCGTTTACGCAACGTCGCCGAAAATTGGCTCTATTGCAAAAATGCACGTTCTTTTAACAAATGCATCTGAAAGAATGCCCGTGTCGGGTAATGCAGGTGGCTCTTACCTGACAGTGCGATCAAAAAACGGTGCTTTTCCCCAGTTTGACTTTCAGCTTACTTTCTTACACCATCGTTGTGATTTCCGAAAATAGGGCTTATTTTCGGCGTGATAAATATAATCGGTAACTTCGCGACGGTTTTCAATGACCAAGCGTATTGGCAGCGCGCAATTGCAAGTCGTCCCGCCAGTTGTGTCAAGGCTTATTTACTCGGTGGACTCGCTTGGTGAGCATAAACCCTAGTATTATGCGCCTTGTCTTTACTTGGGCTTTTCCAATTGATCGAATGTTTGCCACCATCAAGGTTTGCGATCCCGTTTACGTTTGCAACAACGCTCGGGCTGGCCGCAGTTGCACTGCAAGGCGATCCAGATATGCGTGTTCTAAGTGCCGCTGACGTGTCAGCTGGCTTACCCGCGCCCTCCGCGGCGGCGGCGTTGCTCGGTAAATCGGGCGCTGCTGCAATGCTCGTGCTACTGTAAGATCTCCGATGCTGGCATTTCTTCAACACGGAGCTTTCGAGCTGACCTATTCCTGCATACTTGTGGCGGATCTGATTTCCTCAAGCTTCTTGGCTGTCACCAGTGCGACGTCCGCTGAACTTATCGCCGTCTCTAGTATCTTGACCTACGATGTCTACAGGGTGCGTGCATATCAAGCTCGCAATGTCTGCTGGCTTCCGGGACCCCGGTCTGACAGTGATTTATTGCGTGCCTCGCATCCGACTTCATGCTTGTCTGACTGAATTAACTATACAGAAATACGTCAATCCGCAAGCGACGGAGGTGCAAATCTCCCGGGTGTCTCATTGGATGGTGTGTGAATGTTATCTTAATATCTCCTTTACCGGGAAAGAGTGCTGAGGAGCCTCGCCCCAGGTTGCATTCTATGCACTTGTCATGGGCCTTGCGGGACTAATCTTCTTTTATATTGGTGTGTCGATGGGTTGGCTCTACGTACGTCGCGGTTTCATTGGTTTCAGTGTAAAATGGATAGATAATACACACTATCGCTACGGATTGAACTATATCCCGTCTGATTACAGACTTTCATGGGCGTCATTCTCGGCTCCGCAGTTTTTCCAGCAGCACTCTGCGTCACATGGAGCAAAGCGAATAAGTCTGGGTGCATAGCTGGTGCCATTGCGGGCTTCTGTGCGGGTATCATCGCTTGGTTGGTAACGACCTCCTCCCTCAACAATGGTGTTATCAATGTTACGGTAAGACCTGGACCATGAAGAAACTCCTGCAGAACTGACCTGACTTTCCATCACCATAACTAATACCAAATAGACTAGTGGAGGTGATCTTGAGATGCTAGCTGGAAATCTGGCTTCAATCGGCGTCAGCGGCATTGTGGCCATCGTATCTTCTCTCATAGTAAGTCTCTTTCAACCCCTCACGAATGCCAGACTAAGCGTATTTCTCGGCAATCTGCTCATCCCCGACTAGTTTCCTGATAGCTTCGATTTTCATGCCACGCGCTCAATTAATTCGGTACCTACGCATCATGTCCACAAGGAAGAGAAAGGATATGAAAGCGGGAATCGCATCTCGCAGAAAGAAGGTTATGTAGATGATAAATCGCCGATAGCGTCGCCAGTCGAAGTGCGGAGCGTGTCTGAGCGCGAGCACGTTGTAGGAGTTACAGATACCGATGAACTTGAGACTGCAGGGCTTAAATCCGCTTTCCGGTTTGCAGCATGGTCATCTGTGATTCTGGTACGTATGAGAACTGCCAAGCTATGTCGGTGCACCGCTCAATCTCCTTTGAAAACATTATGATACAGCTCTTGGTAATGATCATCCTCGTTCCTTTGCCGCTTTTCTTTGCCCAGACAATTTTTGGTGTTCGAGGCTTCGAGGCGTGGGTTACCATCGGAATCATTTGGACATTCTGCTCTGCTTTCACCGTCGTGATCTATCCTTTGTATGAAAGCCGCGAGGCGCTGTTCATGGTATCTCGAGGTGTCATCAAGGTCTGTCACTCGTCTAACACGTGATCTTCATGGCATCAGCTGAACTCATAGGTTCAATTCATTCTTTACATGATTTCTCATATGGCCGCCTATGAATACACGGGATTTGATCGACCCTGCGCAACGAACGCGATTACTGGCCCTTGGTGCGGTTTCTCGGCCCCAATCCCGATGTACGATTCAACATTCAGGACATCTTTGGTGGGCAGGGCCGATACGCGTCGCCTGCCGCGAAGGGTACTAACAAGGATAGTGCTCCGTGTTAGAAGTCCGAGATCCCCTCGGCCCAAAGTAGGCTGTGCCCTGAAGCCTTATTATATATTATGAGACGGCAGATACTAACGAACCTTGTTGTGCAACCGCGTTAATATTGGTGTCATTTCACACCTTTGATCCGACAGCACGCGCCTCAATGGAGAAACGTCGAGTTACATCCATATCATTCCCATTTGTAGACTCTCATGGTGAACTTTGGCTCCGCCCGGATGTCTAATTGCCTGACCGGCTTTTTGTCGAAATGTAAGGATACTAGGGAACGTGTATGACTATAAGCATCACGAGGTGTGCATAGGCGCATTTAGAACAAGTATGAGAGTAACTTCCTGGTGGTTGTACGTTCAAGTTCGCGTCTTCGAGAACTTGAGAAGTCAGAGAATAAAAGTGAAGAAAGCTCGAGAATGACTCAAAAAAAGACGGAGTGGCGTCGTCAATCAGTGACCTATTATGGCATCGAGTGATCATCGTTCCAACCTCTTGCACAGACACTGAGACACTCACGGCTTGTCTCAACCACTAGCTCAAACACACACACAGGCACCGAGTCTAATCGAGCCACAGTGATCCAAGATTTTACACACTTACAGCTACAGCTAGTACTCGTGATCGCACAGTTATTCTCGGTGACTATATTTGCATCCGGCAGTCATGATAGTGTATCCCTTCCGTCCGTAACCACCGCACGAAACAGCGTCTATCGCCATTTCCCGTCCAGACAATTCAGATCCTGGCATCCCTGACGACCTACGGAATCTATTTCAACTGAACTGTTGAGTAATCTGCCATCCCGAGCGCATTTTGTAGATGCTAAGATTCCATCACTCAAGATTTGATTCGAGATTGCTGGGCATTCAGAAGAATGCATTACTCTTCGAGGCTACCGCCCTATTTGTCAAACCATACGAAACCGATTTATGCACTAGCATCGGACATGTTTATTTATCTATCAAAGGATCACGGATCGCAAACTCTTCGCGCCCGTGTACGATATAATCAATATACTGCACGAGTCGTCACCTGGAAAAAAGGTTCTATATCTGGTCTACCGCGGACCGACCACGTCGAAGCGAAGTCTTGTGTTGACACCTCTGTGAAGCGCTGGCTGGGGTTCCGGAACCAGCAAGCAGAAATGTCCTTCTGCAGTGCTGTGACCTGTTGTCGTTCGCGCTTCTGAGGCTGCGGCGTCGACAATGTCGGATACCCTCCTTAAAAGAGTCGAGTAGACGCAAAGCAAATCTACCTTGTCTCCTCGGCCTTAGCAATGGCCTTCTTGCGTCATGCAAATTTCCAGGGCATGGGCGACCATGATGTACGCCCACACTTGCGATGCAAAGAAGAGTCCCGGTATCTTGCCGAATTGGTTTATCCCTGCAACGAGCAGGAACAGGAAACCCGATCGCTGCGAATCTCCGCGAATCTAGATGATCCCACTAGCTCGATTCGTTATGTTATCCAACGTTATACATCGGGTTGAATTACGACACCCCTCTGGAGATGTGCGGGTGTTGGGGCCTTTCCTATTTCGATTCTGAGTCTCAAGTGAAACTACAGTCGAAAACGTACTTAAAGGCTCGAGTTGGTACATGGTTTCAAGTGTTCGAATTTTGCCATGCTATCTCTTGCCCTTCAAACTGTTCTTCTCTTAGTACTCTTCGTCCCATCCGTCTTTCTGTGGCGACGCTACACCTCTTCCGTTCGTCGTCTTAACGGACCTCCGAGTGCCTCCTTCTGGCGAGGTTGTTCCAAGTATTATCAGCATGTTAATCCCTCGCTGATAACCCTCCAGGTAACCTCGGACAAATATATGCTCGAGACGGATGGCGCTACCATCGTGAGCTCGTGGAAAAATATGGTGGAGCGGTTAAGATTCATGGCCTTTTAGGCGTAATTTCGCTCTTTTTGTTTAATTGTTTGATTCAGCTGTCTAATACCAATCCATCTTCCCTTAGTGCCATCAGGTTTATGTCTCTGACCCGAAGGCTATGTACCACATGCTGGTGAAGGATGCAGCTATTTATGAGGAGACGACATGGTATACCGAGTATGCTCTAGACTCCCTGTCCATTTCCGAGGACTTTGTTCATTTCTCTCCTCAGCGGAAACATGCTTGTCTTTGGACCGGGTCTTCTGTCCACAGTCGGTAAGCCCCTGGCTACTTTCGCATTACAGCAAGTAGTGCTGATACCTCATGATCGCAGGGGACCACCACCGGAAGCAACGCAGAATGCTCAACCCCGTCTTCTCGATCAAGAATATTCGGAATCTCACTCCGATGTTTTACTCCGTCGTGCAGAAGGTTAGCGTTTCTTACGTTGCGTTGCCGTTATTGAACTCTAATTCTGTCTCCGATCGTCAGCTAAGGGACGCAATCCTACTCCAGACGAAGAACGGTCCACATGAAATTGACATGCTCATGTGGATGTCCCGCGCTGCGCTAGAGATAGTTGGGACAGGTGGACTCGGGACGTCTATTGACCCACTTGTCCCCGACCCCAAGGCAATAACTGCATATGGAAAGTCCATCAAAGATCTAATGTAAGCACCGACGCCGATGGCACGTTCGGAACTTATAATTTCTAATCTGATGCAAATGAAAACTCATAATTTACCTTCTTGTGCCATAGTCCATGCGCGTTTCGGCTTAGCATGTTTCGGATGTTCATCCCATTCTTCAAGAGTCTGGGACCGCCAGCTTTTCGTCGTTTATTGCTGGAGCTCACACCATCTTCAAATCTACAACGAATCAAACATACAGTCGACGTCATGACTGAGACCTCGGAAAGTATCTATCGAGAGAAGCTTCAAGCTCTAAGAAAGGGAGACGAGGTGGTTATCAAACAACTGGGAGAAGGGAAGGATGTCATGAGTATTTTACGTTAGTCGCACGCATTCTTCGTTAATCCAGAACTTACTCACGTATTGGTTCTGATAGTGAAAGCCAATACATCTGCGGCGGCCAGCGAACGTCTCCCCGAAGACGAGCTGATCGCACAAATGAGGTGAGTAAGATTCAACCTCGCATACACGCAGATTTAACATCGCTGATTTTTGCTTCTTTGAAGCACTTTCATGTTTGCCGGACATGACACGACTTCGAGTGCCCTATCGCAAATTCTGTACTGCCTTGCAAAGAATGCAGGGGAGCAGAATAAGCTCCGGGAGGAAATTATTACTTCGGGCATTGTTGACCGAGACGAAGTTTCTTATGATGAACTTATGACTCTTCCATACCTTGATGCCATTTGCAAGGAGACTTTACGAGTGTAGGTGTCCACTATAGTATTATTCTCCATTGTTCGATGCTGAACGCCATATGCTACGCAACAGGCACCCTCCGATTAATTTTATGGCTAGAACGTGCGTGCTGGTCCGGTTTTCTCACCTGTAACCGAAACAATAACGTTTTAACGTGTAATGTCATTAGTGCTCGCAAGGATGTAATTCTCCCCCTTGGCACTCCTTGCAAGTCCGAGGACGGGCAGTCTGAAATGGACCACCTTTGCATCCGCGAGGGTCAGAATCTCATCGTGGCATTCGGTGCTGTAAACCGACTGAAATCCGTGTGGGGAGCGGACGCAGAAGAGTGGAAACCTGAGCGTTGGCTCGCTCCGCTTCCAAAATCTGTTGCAGATGCACATATCGCGGGAGTCTACTCGTCTTTGTACGTTCCTTTACCATGCACTTTCATTCACAGGGCTTATGTACAATCCGTTAAGGATGACCTTCAGCGCTGGGCCGAGGTCTTGCATGTACGTTTGACCACTTTCTAGTTGATCCGTTCCAGATGGCTAATTGGCCGAGTCTATCTTTAGCGGCTTCAAGTATGCCGAACTAGAAATGAGTGCGTGCGACATGCTACTTCTTCCTGCGATTCTAAGAAGCTTACTGTTATACTCTGACCCCGGTGCAGAGATGATTCTAGCCGTACTCGTCAAGTCGTTCAGATTCGAGCTTCCCACTGACAAGACGATTGTGTGGAACCTCGGTGGAATACAGACACCTGCAATCCAGGGGTCGGAAACGGCAAGGCCGCAATTACCTCTCTGGGTCTCGAGGATCTGAGAAAGCCCTTTGAATGAGCTCCACAACTATCGCGGATATCGGCATCTGCCGTGCTCTGAATCCGCGACCATTGACGAGCTGGCGATCTGGGGTGAAGTTTCAAGAAGGACGAATTCCTCTCGTGTTCTCTTTCAATTATGCTTAATTTTTCGATTATCGAATTCAACTCCCGAAATGTATTCTTAGCTCGCGCAATGTTATCGTCGAGATGTTTATTCTTTCACTGTATATTACAACTTACATACAATCTTGTACAGTATAATATCCAAATAGTAATTTTTACGACAATGATTAATATAAAAAGCCTTGGGTACACTTCAGGCTTTTGAAGCTCACAATAACTTCCTGGTAAGAATGCCCAGTTATCTATCGAGTACGTCAGACGCAGAATGGAACTTTCATTTCCCAGACTTTGGCGGTATCGTGATTGTCAGAATAGGAAGGCTTTCACCAATGCGGCAGCTGCTACGTCCTGCTATTTTCGCGATTCTATTCAGCGACAACCATCGTAATTTGACATTGGACTATGACTCTCAGCTTTTTCGGTGCAGCACTGCAGTTGATTCTTTTCATTTCAATGAGTTTGGCGTCTGCGGTGCTTTCACTGCTTTGGGTCTTATTGGTCTTATTGGTACCTCGTCACGGTAACATGTCACTTACGTCGCGTGCTGTGACATCCAACGACGCGTTCGTCACGGGTAGCTTGCTCACCAACCTCTAGCTCGAGAACGCCTAGCACGACTTGCTGCCAGAAGTTTGAGTACAGGGAACGGGACTCACCAGAACTCGCGTCTTCTAGTTTGCTCTGCACTGCTTGCGTGTTTTCTCTTGGCGTTTAATTTTACTTTTTCAAACGCGACCTTTAGCTTGTCGGCTACATACAGAAGCCGCAGCCAATCTTGAAGATTTGTGCATTCTGGGTGGTTTCAGTTCTCCGCCTCAAGGAACATATGTCAGAGACCTTACCTGCCATACTTGCCTCCGAGCAACAGCTGATCAACGAAGCCGCGGAAGCCCTCCCACACCAGTTCAATACCTGTACGTACGCACTGGGCTATATCCGCCAAGCAGTTTACCTCTGCTTGACATGTGCTCTGCCCCGAGGAATCTGCTCTGCATGCTCCGTCGCTTGCCATACGGACCATGAACAGGTCGAGCTCTTCCCGAAGCGCCATTTCCGGTGCGACTGTCCGACAAGTGCCATTCAGCACCCGTGCACGCTGCACAAGACGTGCGAAGCGGAGAATACGGAGAACTCTTATGGGCAGAACTTTAAGGCTACCTTCTGTCGGTGTGGAAGACCGTATGATGCGAACCAGGAGCGAGAAACAATGGTTCAGTGTTTGTCATGCGAGGTAAATATTGAAGCCAAGTCGCTCGTCGTTTGAGCGCCTATTGAAGAGTCTTTTCTAAGGACTGGTACCACGAGTCCTGTCTGAATCTGCGCGAACGCCCGGACTCTCTGGAGTCCGTCCCGAATTTAGGCTCTGTTTCAACAAGTGCAGTACATGATACTGTCTCCAACGCCGAGGCAGACGAAGCTGCGTCCGAGGTGTCCTCGTCGGGTCTACCTCCGCCGTTTCTCTCGGACACCGATTATGACACACTTATATGCCACACATGTGTACTTTCGAGCTCAATCTTCCGGCGTTGGGCAGGCACCAGCGGTGCGATAATGGTAGTTCGTGATGACGTGGACGCCCCATGGACGACTGTCGGCTGTCCCTCCGAGGATATACAGGTAGAAATTTCAGGTGAATCCGAGACAGTTACCGGACGCAGCTTATCGGACCCCGGAAAGGATCGAGCCATTGCCGCTGGAGGTAAAAGAACTTTAGAAGCTGCACCTTCTGAAGCATCCGAGGAGACACGCGCTAAGCGTCCTCGGACGAGTTCTGGAGGTGACGCTGGTGGATCAGGTGTTGCTCATTCAATTGCAAAATCCGTGTGCATTGCTCCGCAACAACCGAGAAAGGCGCTTGAAGTACTAGATGCTGTTTCTTCCAGTCGTCCTAATTTTGACTTCGGTGCGGGAGACGTCTTCCTTACGGATGGCTGGCGGACACGCTGGTGTCGATGTGACAATGTACGTACAAAACCTTACTGTTCAACTTAATCTTCCCGATTTGCTACATTCCTGCGTTATCGTAGGGTCGATTTATCCGTCCATTTTTAACATGTACGTTTCTCGTGTAGTGCCTCATCTCACTAATGGAACAATCGTACCTTCTCGAAGAAGAGGAGACGTACGAGCCCCCGGAAGACCCAGATTCTGGTATGTCCTGCTGTTCGGTGTATGGGGAAGGAGCTCGCTGACCTCTGCGTCTATCCAATCAACCCACGGCTGCTAACTAGGCTTCTCATTAGAGGAACTAGGAATCCGAGCTCTTCAATCTCTCCCACGAGAACGGGCCATCGATGGTATTAGAGCATTCAACGAAATGCGGTGCGTCGGCTTGTCCTTCCCAACCTCCGTAATGTCTTCCGCAACCGGATAACCTAGATTTCCCTTATGGAAATGCTCGGGTGTTTTTAGCCATCTGCCCTGTTCTAATTGAGTACTACACAGAGACGAGTTGCTGTCATATTTGCGGCCCTTCGCACAGGAAGGAAAGGTCGTAAATGAGGCCGATATCCGTGCATTCTTCGAGGAGAAAAAGGAGGCGCGACGTGCACAAGCCGAAGAATGACCGCGAATCGTGCACATATTGGCGGTTTTCCGCTGCGGAGTGTCCTTGTGGTGTCGAATGGAGTGCAAGTGAAATATGATACTTGGTTCGCATAGTCTCTATCTTCATTACTCAAAACTTCCCACATGAACTCCAACTGTCCTTTACAGAGCTGATATTCGCGATCTTCTCTCTCTTTCTGCCGCAAAGTCGAACAAACGATAACTATGGAAATGACCATCCCGCCACCCGCGGATCGCGGCGTTTCGCTTCTCTTCTATGTCCATGGCCGATGTTCGCTGCTCTCGCTGGCATGTTGTCGGAGGAAACGGAGGCAATGTCCCGTTTATGCCACCGATGGCTGTCTGCGTGGAACCACTTCGAATGCCTAGCTTCACCGTTTACAAATTCATGCGGACATAATTTGTATATCCGGCGCTTTATTTTTTCATTTCCGGGTCCGATATTGGCTTTGGAACAGCCTTCCAGACGGCCGTCAAGTCTTGGTGCTAGTCAATATCGAAGACCGAAGTTGGTTCGACTCCACGTCCTGAGAGAACTCGTGTGTGCTCTTCCAAGTCAACTTGAAGAAGCATCTAAATATTATTTGGCAATTGCTTTATGACCAACGCATGTACCTGACTTCCCTGCTTTGTGACGAAGTCAAATGAAGCTCCAAGATTCAAGTCCGTTGGGATGACAGATGGCAGTCCGAAATTCGATGTTCCCAAAAAGGCAATCTGTGAGATTTATGAACTATCGTAATGAAAATAACAATGATATATCGTTTGAGAACTTTCGACTTCTGTTGTGTCCTGGATTGTACCGAGTTAAACTGATTGAACCGAGGTTCTATAGGACAACGACGGAGCCTTCCAATACCCTCACTGTTTCCCGCTGTGTGAATGCCGATATATCCTCGTACATTTAAGTAACATGAGTCAAATTACTCTTTAAAAACAGTTATCCTGTTCCATCGAATGTAGTTTCACTACCAACTGGTGAATATATTGGTCCTCACTATCCTTACCGGACAACGACCTTAATATCGAAAGCAGCATAAGTCAGCGTCAATGCTACAAACTGCAAGTATATGACCCAATATTTTGTCCGTTGACCTGCTCGGTCAACTCATGATCTGTTTGATTGATATCTAATGCACCGAGGGTCACGATAAAGTCCGACAGAGTGATTCCATCTGTGTGCATACACACTATTTGTTTCATGACCGGTGTAATTCCCATTTTAGCGTCGTTAAAGACTGCTGTTTCCGATGCAGCATTAATGGGCCGCTCAGAATGCTCTGATCCTCCAGCCAGTAAGCTACCATGGATAAATACCAGGGCACAATAGAAAGAGTTTCACAGCGGGTCCTGGCCTTTGCCATTTCATGCCTCTAGTGTGTATCGACCTATACGATGTTTTTGTTGCTCAGGGTATATTCGAACTGCTCAAAGCAGCCGTGTTCCAAAGACAGCATTGATTAGGACAGAACCGTGGAGGTAAGGTATAGATTAGTCAAACTGCAGTAATTCAAGACAGCGAATGTAGGAGTTGCTTGAAAGAGCATTACAGAAATTGACAATCACCTGCTTCATTGCATACCCTTGTACATGATTGACCCAGTGGGCCTGGAGTTTAGTCCGTGGTAATGTCTTAATTTAGATCTACTATAAGTTCTGACTAGATAGGGTTAGTTCTTTCCCCTTTGTGTACAACGGGAAAACGAGCAAGAAAGAAGATGGCACGGAGACTCGGAGCCTAATATGTTTTGGCAAATTTACTGTGCTTTGAGAGGCCTTTGCATTGTGATAAGTTTAGTAAAATCATTAACCTGTAGCAACCGGATATGGATCAGTGGTAGTGATCTGTCGGTGGCCACTCATTTCGAGCCAAACGAGTAAGCGGTTACCCAACATCATGTGGTAGTAAGTAGTAATATTTCGACTGAAGTGTTTGAAGTCTTATCTAGGACTACTAGAACAAAAGAAAGGGAGGATAGTGGCTAAGCTTGTTGTCTTCCTCTGGGTCCCGGGATATAACTGGGAATAGATGGACTTAGAGTGTGGATCAAACACGCACACAGGATGCAAAAGTGTATTTACAGCCGTTTGCATATATAATGAGACTTTCTGATTTTTGGAGAAATGACAAAATGTAAGAAATCATGTGACAATTTGGACTTAGAGGAAATTTGTGAGTATGAGACGCATTGTGCCACTGTGTGAATTGTGTTCAGACACTCCCGGCACAACACGTCTCATTCACTCTTTATCTTGTGTTTGCTATTTTCCTTGCTAAGTCCAAAATATCACATGATTTCTTACATCACATCACATTGCTCAAAATCGAAAAGTCTCATTACTTATGCAAACGGGTGTAATGAGCCACATTAGTTCACCCTCTTCTAGATGACTTTGACGGACGACAACGTACATTCAAGCAGTAGGAAAGGCTTTTCTGGATTGTTGATCATGTGAGTATTGTATCACGTAGATCTCACGTTATCTCGCGTCGCGTTTGTTTGCTAGTGCTACTGTCATTTGAATTGTCAAGTGCACAAAATGTCTATACGCTATCTAACTGCAAAGGTCGCTCAGCAAGTACGTCATAAGATTATTCAGATTATACAAGAGATTAATATTGACTCGGATTGCAAGATTGACGAAGAGCTTATGAGTGCTGTCGGTGCGTTCAGCATTGACCAGGTAAGTCAAGTTTCGCCGATTTCCTCTGAAGACAAGTAATATGTTGATTTCATTCCCATACCATTTCCCGTAGCTCATGGAGCTCGCGGGACTTGCTTGCGCTCAGACACTGGCAAAGGTCTATCCGAGAGCATCTCATTCGCGAGTTCTTGTATGTTGCGGACCCGGAAACCAAGGTGGGGACGGACTCGTTGCGGCACGTCACCTCTGTGCGTACACGAAGAACGCGACGCACTTCAATGACGCTTATGTTCTCTTGACATTGCAGCCCAATTCGGCTATAATCCGACATTATTTATGCCCAAGGTATGCACTAGAACGAGGTCTGGCCCCTGACATTCCCCGCTTATATGCGCTCCAGCCCGGGAACAAGGATATCTACAAAGTACGTCAATCGTTGCTGCACGTCTCTTTATGCATTTCATTCTGATCACGAAACTCACTCTATGTCCCTCAGCGCCTCCAAATCCAATGCAACAACATGTCCATTCCTACCTTGCCATCTTCAACCAATGAGCTCGCCGAAGCTCTCACAACCTCCGACGTCATACTTGACGCAATCTTCGGCTTCTCCTTCCATCCGCCTGTACGCGCTCCCTTCGACACTGTTCTCCCACTCCTAGCAAAGTCCGGCAAGCCAATCGTGAGCGTAGACATTCCGAGTGGCTGGGATGTTGAGAAGGGGAAGATTCCAGTGCAGGTAAAAAATATTGAAGGAGAAGGGGAAACGACTTTTGAGGGGTTGGAGCCTGATGTACTTATCAGCTTGACCGCACCGAAGCTGGGTGCGAAAGACTTCAAAGGAAGACACTTCTTGGGCGGTCGATTCGTGAGCAAGTGCGTTTCTTTTTATTCCTCTCCCCGGCCTTTTCTTTGCTCGCCTATTACTGATCAATTGAACAGGAGCCTCGAGGAGAAATTCGAGTTGAACCTTCCAGAATATCCGGATTACGAGCAGATTGTCGAGCTGCCTCAGAACACTGCACAAAAACTTTGAATTTACCACGTTTGAACTAATCAGATAAAACAGCAAAATATAAAGATTTAGCAACAGCATATATGCACTACAAAGAAAGTAGTAAATGAGTACAATGAAAAATTACTGGAATAGACACTATTGCGCCGGCATCCACAGAAACCCATATATCATCCTATCGGCACAACATACCAGCACAATCAGGGCACCTGCTGTGAAATATTTCTTGGACTGTCGGCCGTACTCTCTTGCGCCAGTTGCACCGTGGAGTGGATGCCGCCAAGTCTTCGAGCTCAGATGCTGGACCAAGGGTGTGGTAAAGCAGAAGTTACACCATGTTGGTGAGTTCATCTGGTTATCTCAACGAAATTAATTTCTGGGACTTCCCCCCCCCCCTTCTCCAGCGGTTCCCCATGATTCTACAGGCGCTTTACCTCTCTGTTTCCGCGGAAAATACGCCGATGCATGAATCCCCCCAAGCTCCCGCTGTCTACTTTGAAGAAGATCACGCATGACGGCGCGATGTTTCTTCTGATGCAATGCGCTTACGAAATGTAAAGCGGTCGTATGCCCGATTTCTCTAATCGCATTGGACTGCATGAGCGCGAAGACAAAGCGCCAGTCTTTCCTCTCTGCAAGGGTTAAAGAATATGCGAAGAGAACTCTCTCCTTGGCCTGATTATTCCCGACGCTGGTCTTTAGAAGGGAAGAATTGATCGCATTAACGTCGGTCGAAGAAGCTTCTAACTTTGCGTTGGGGAAATATGGGAGATTTCTCGCTGCGAATGTCGAATGACGAGCACAGCATTGTACGTATTCGTGTCTAGATTTACGGGAGATTAAGCGCTCCATCTCACCTATGGAAGAAGATCCGAGAACTAGGCACCGTAGGAGAGATGCGTCAGCTCTCCGGGGAGATACAAAGACGCGATCAAACATGCAACTCTAAGAAAAGTGAGCTCTTCGGATGTGTTAATAGCGACATTGATTTGTGGGCGGCTCTATCTTCAACATAATTGAACCCGGGAACGAAGTGAGTGCCTTGAAACATGCGTGTCTTCCCGCTTTCTATGTAGATAGCAACCTACATCAGCGAGTCCGAGTCGGAGATCCGAGGATGGATGGGAACGCTGTCTCGTCTTCTCTCATCATTGATTACTCCTTCAGTACCACGTCTGGTGTAATTATACGGAACCAGGATCAAGGCTAGTATCGTTCAATCCTAGAGAAGTAAACAGTTTAATAATCTCGAGTAAAGCAATCTAATCTCAATCTTATAGAAACCTGTGATTTATCTCCCGTTAACAAATAAACACGCTATTCAAGCACAAGTCGGAGAAAGGGGTAAATTCCATCGCATATAGTCAATCCATGGCTTTTTTAAAGTTAATACTAATTAAGCGCTACCGTGTGTAGAAGCAATTCACCTAACAACCAATACTTGCAAAATTTCAGGTGCATCGGAGTTTCTAGACGCTATTTCCAGTACAAGAGGACGAGCACTAAAACCGTGAGTACCACGCTGGGACCTGTTTCCTAGATCCTCTCCGTCATGAACGGTTAACAGTTATGTAGTGTTCAACTGTCGTTCGCTTCATTGACATTCACCAACTCCTGTCGGGCAGCTGCCCCTCCGTCTCTGAGGATTGGCTAAATAATATGCGTCCATCGTTCACGTCCAGTACCAAGTCGTTACCAGAAACTCATTCCCTTTCGGATGACGATCTATCGTCCTTCGGGTGGTCGTATGTCTCAGAAACTTGCTCGCTGGTTTCCTCGAGGATGTCCTCAAACCAGACAGTGGACGATCTACCCGGTCCAGGCCGAACCATTGACAAATACATTTACCAGCCTGGAGGGCGGTTTCTCGCACGAAAGTTGAATCCTCTCCTTCATGGTCGATATCGAATGTCCGAGATTCACCTGGCTCGGAAGACTGTGGATAACTTCTTCGGTTTCGTTGCTTCGCAATCGAGTGGCTACTTCCTTCTGAAGCACGGCTATTGGGATATTGATGGATTCAAAGTGATCAGACTCCATTTATCGGGATTGCTTTATTTCTGGGGAGGGCAGAACATAACGGGTTGGGACGATTTGATCATTTTTGAACAATGTCGAATCATTACCGCCTCAATACGGTAGGGCTCAAACACTTTATCAACCGTGTTTCTCTCAGATTCATCAATAAGCTCGCGTCAACGCCACGTTAAACTCGAAGCCAGCCGAACCGCCGCCATACTTCTAAACAAATACCCACGATTGTGGCGATACTTCAATGTATCCGCAATTCGCCAAGAACTTCCGGGTGGAGGATCCTGTTCGGAATTCGATAAGACGAGCGGCTTTTACATGTCCTTTACCATCTGTCCACGAAACTCCTAGAACACAAGCTTTCCCGGACGGAGTCTCTATCGACCCGAGTCGCCCTGGTCTCATTTATCGCAGGCGTGTTGGAAGAATATTCATTAGAGATGTAAGCATATGATGTCGCACTTTGACACTACGTTATAATACTTACTTTTACCTTTTCCTTAAACAAAACACAAAGAGAGTCGCACGTGGAACTGCAATACTTCATCCGACAACTCTTATACATAAACGGTGTTTACATACTTTACGACTTGAAACTGAACAGCGAGTTTTCAGAGGTCGTTTTCTGGGAGAAGTACACTCGCCTTCTGAATGAAGACCCAGAGTCATGGAAGCGGGATAACGTAGACGTCAAATTAACGCTGTTCACTTGCCTGCACATGTGTCTCAAGGGGAACGTAGAAACCATGCACTCAGCCTTTTATATTGACGAGGAACTTAAGAGGGAGATGGCAATGTCTCCAGTAGACCCGCCTGGTGGCCGAACACTCCGTATAGCACACGAACGGCCTTTAGATACAGAGGAGAACGCCAAAAGGCGAGTCGAAATATGTGAACAGTTTGTTCGCCTACATTTCGAAGTATTCCTACGACAGTGTTCTTTGTCAAACAGGTGTGTGATTGACAAGTCTCATTAATATCTCCTAACGGCGCGTTCTAATTTATGTTCTAGGCGTAAAGAGAATCGAGACGAAGCATGTTTAAATTTGGATCAAGTGGCCATAACACTTAGGTCTCGAGTCAAGGACCGGCTTCGTCAAGTTCTGAACGATCGTCAAGTTGAAGACATTTGGAATAATTGCATCGGGAGACCGTGTAGCAGGGTCCAAGAAAATAGTATTATCAACGGCCCAATGCTGACTGAGGGGTTATATACAACTCGTCTGCAAGACCTGCTTACTGCCGCCAGTTTGTAGCACGTTTCTCAAACCCCGATGTATGAGCTGTTTATCAGGCATTGTTTGTATAAAACCTGACAAACAGAAAATTGCACTATAATTATATTGTCTATTACGGAATAAATTGTGAATGGATACATTTAATAACAATTGTTTCAAATATAAACAAGCAGAATTATAGGTTGTAATATGATATATTATAATAATCTTAGAATCTTATACATTGCATTATGTTTAAAATTGTATCATAAGATGTCTGAATATCACTTATACATTGTGATAGATTTATTAAATAGTGAGAAAAATGTTTGCAAAAGAGAAAAGAAAAGAAAGGCAAGGTGAAAGAGACATTGTAGAAAGACCCTATGGAGCTTTACTGCAACCCGATATTGAATTTCAAAAAATCATAGAAAATTATACAAGGGAATCCGGTGCATTAAACACTATTGCATCTTAAGTTTTGCTGCAGCTTACTTAGCTAACCAATGCAAGTTAAGGAAATGCACATCACAAAAACAAAGACAAGATAAAAAAGAAAATATCAATTAAACTTCGACATCAACACACTTCATTACTTTACTTCATCATCCAAAAAAAAACGACAAAAATAAAAGAAAAAGGAACCTATACAGAAATAGAAGGAAAAGAAAAAGAAAAAGAAAAAAAAAGAAAGGAAAAGAAAATTACACATTGCATATATACTCGTACTATACTATAAAAAAAGGAAGAAGGGCAGGAGAAGAGAAGAAAAGGGATGAGATAGAGAGGAAGAAAGAATGGTAAAAAGAAGAAAGGTGGTGAAGAAAGGATGCCCCGATATATGCACATTGCTCATACTTCCTCCTATCACACATATTCATCATAATCGCAAGTAAAGTGTAAAGAGTACTAGCCCCCGACTAGTATGCACACAAGACAAGAAAGCCGCAAGGAAAGGTGTACAGGCGAAAAGAAAGGAAAAGAAAAGAAAAGAAAAAATCGATTTGTACATACATAAAGGAGAAGGGAATGGTGAAAAAGAAACCGCAGTGGTGAAAGGTTAAGTGCAAAATGGGATATGGGATATGGGATATTGAATATTGAATATGCAACGTTACGCAAGAGCCGCGCGGGAGGGTTTGGTCATAAAATGAGGGTGCAATGCAAAGTCGATGTTGGGCAGGAAGGAAACGTCATGCGTATTGAGTAACGTGAAAAATCTTAACAAGCCGTAGGTGAATCACCGACACTACAAGGTGACGCAACATGTGAGAAAGGACAGTGAAAGGACGGACAATCCCCTTGAAGCAACAGGATGTGTCTTCCCGAGAACCAGCAAACGAAACTGAGAACCCCTGTATGAAAAACTAGGAGAAACAAGATAATTTCATTGTTCTCGTCTCGAATGTTCATCGCTTCCTCTTCTCTCCCGCACCGATGGCACCAAGTGGGCCTTCTGCAGACGATGCCGAATTGTCGCCCTCTCCATCAACACCCACGCCTACATGCATTCCGCCGATCCCAATGAAGACTTCATCTGGCTCATTATCACTTGTATCGTCTGCCACCATCCTCCTCGTCAGAGGTGATACAGGCGCAGTCATCGGCCTCTGAATGGCATATCCTTGCATTTGTGATGTTGGCGGCGACAGTGAGCCCGAAGGGATGGTTAAAGGTCCACTTGGCGTCGGAACAGGTAAAGCAGGTAAAGGATGCAACTCATCCCCGTACTCTTCCTCGTCGCCTTCGTCTTCTACCAAAGGGTACTCATCCACATCTTCAGGTACTCTTTCGAATCGGCCAGTCCCCGTGGGTGAACGTGATTGACTGTCACTGTTCCGCAATGTCCCACCGGCTTCGCCGTTCCTCCTCAGGCGCGGTGGTCCATCCCGCTCAACCTCAGTCTCGGCACCTGCACCAGCGTGGGCTTGTGCAGCTTCATTCGCAGCGTTCAGGACAGCACTCAAGTTCACCACAGCGTCGATATCCATCGCATCTCGGCCGGGAGCATTTGTGCCTGATGGAGAGTTTTGATCAGCTCCAGACCCTGTACCGGAGCCCTCCACGTTGTCTGTGTCCACATCTTCAGTGTCGATCTCTACGTCTTCATCAAGGTTCGCAAACGTCCGGCACAGGGGGCACGAGAAGCCGGGATGGTGCATGAGCAGCATGGGCCGGATGCATTTATAATGGAACACGTGTGAGCAGGGTGCGATGAAGAGGGACTGGTGAACCGTGACAGAGAAGAGGCAAATACAACAGTCTGAAATGCCCGATTTGGCAACATAAGGCTTCCCCGCCTGCTTATCCGCCGCAGGCTGGGTGGAAAGCGCCTTTAATTGTTTCAAAGCATTGGTGCTTAATAAAGATAAGCATCACGATATCAAAAGATATAGGAAACACGAAGCAAACATACTTGAATGCATTCGCCTGGGTCTGCCATTCGCGTCCTAGTTCAATTCGCATTTTCACACACTTGTAAATTTCCTCTGTCCCACCCTGGTAATCCACTCCCAATTGAAGGACATCACCGTCCTTGATGGGAAACGGTCGGGAGTCGGTGTTCGGGGCAGAAAGCCTAATATGGTTGAGGAATGTGCCCGACGATGATTTGGTATCTTTGATGAAAAATTTTCCACCGGACTCACACCAAACCTCGGCGTGCGCACGACTGACGACTTTGCTTTTGAATGCTAATTTATTAGTGTTTTGCGCGTTGAGCGCAGCCACCCCCATGCCGGACCTATCTGTGAACCGACCAATCCGAAGGGCAGCATCTCCCTCGCGGACATCGCGTGAGATCGGCTCAAAATGCAGCGAGCGAGAGGAATCGAGGTGAGGGACGAGTCGAATACGATGCGTGCGCGCATTCAAAGTATTCGATGATGTTACGCCCTGGGCGGAGGGTCGGGCTGGTTGGGCACCTGAAGGCGGAGTAATGTTTTCCGAAGGTGAATTATTTGAGGGGTTTGCGGACGACGCACCTCCGTTGAGGGCGCCATTCGCCGAGCGTCGACGACGGAGCATCTGGGATAGACCATGGACAGAGACACCCGAAGGTATCGGAGGGCCTCCAAGCCCATGAGCCGCACTGATGGAGGGCTGGATTCCACCACCCGCGGCCGGGCGCCTACGGTGACCCTGACCTGGTTGGCCGGGGCCAGGTGAGGGTGGTTGCGGAGACATTGTACCGTTCGCGTTGGTATTGCTGTTGGTGTTGCTGGCAAGACCGTCTGGGGAGGTAGGATTGTGTGTATCGTGGTCGAGCTGCACGTTTGGAGGGAGTTGATGGGACTGCGAGGCACCGCGTGGGCGAACACGGAGGAAAGAGCCAAGAAGAGACTGGCGGTGGTTGGATGTGTGCACGTCGCTTGCCAACGGGGCACCTACCGGATCCATCAAAGGCTACTAGGGGACGTCGATGCGTCGGGAACGTCGGTGGAAGGTGCGAAGAATGGCGGGCAGTGGACAGTGGACGGTGGGTAACGTCGAGTGGACGTCTGCCAGACAGAAGAGACTGGCTTTATCGAGCAACTTGTCACATATCAAACATTACGTAATCATCCCGGTCCTCGGCTGACCACCCTCGACAGCTGTGTCCCTCTCCCCCGCCCCTCTCGGCTCAAGCAACCCTCCCGCAGAAGCACTAAAAGCACAGAAACACGCACAGCACACGCTGCCCCTGTCAGTAGAAGCGTCGTTATTAAAGCATTATTATAGAGGAATTAATATTTCGACCGAAAAAAATCAGTGTCACACATCACGATCATTTGCACGTCTTGTCTCAGGCTCAGGGCGGCCTCAAGACTCCAACCCAACCAATCCTTGTGCATCCAATTCGTGTTTCAGCTATAACACCTCACATCCACACACGCCTATCCCTCTCACTATTTTCGTCTCACAGACTCAGGCGCATCGATCATCTTTGTTGCGCCCGCAAAACTACTAAATCATATTCCTAGTTACCGGCCTTGCGATGCAAATGCAATGCAAGTCTGCGACCAGTGCAACGCAACAACTCGGAGCCTACCGTCAACCGTTGAACCGATTACTTCCCTTGTAATTTCAATTCACAAATCAGAATTAGAATATTATGTATGTGTGGCACAACCCAGTAGGGTAGGAGCACATCAACGCCCAACTCGTCATCGTTGGGGCTCGCCATTAGTGCGTACACGTCGCATTGACTTGACAACAGCCGATCGGTTCAGCTCAGTTCAAGATGGATTCTCATGGGGCATTTGATTTGGATTTTTAGGCCGTCTGTGTTTTGAATCCGGTCCGCCTACAGCCACTCCTGACATAATATCAGTATTGTCCGGGCGGGGTCGAATGAAAGCCGTTCCCGCCCGTGGAGCATGCATTCCTCTCCACAAACAGGATTCGTATGGGATTCCTATACCGAAACACATCTTCGGGACAAATTTAGACCAATGGCAAGCGATAGGTAGCGTGACAAGAAGATTCTAGACTCAGTGTAGCAAGCCTTATTATGTCTTCGACCACCCTATCAAACCGATCGCCATGTTCAATTAATATTGATGGACAGCAGAAGTCCAGAAAGCTCCATCAACAGCATCTATTTTATCATATACATCTATCTATTCTTTGCTATTTGCCTATAAGTACATTTATTGACATTGACATTCTTGTCTTCTTCTTTCTTGATCTTGTAAGTACGTGCCTGTGTGAAGAATGAAGAGTGGATACAGTAAAGAAGAAGTGAAGTGAAGTAGATGAAGAGAGGGAACGAGAAAAGGAAAGGAGAAAAGGGTAGATATGTGCCCGAATTGCGATGGAAATGCTTGTGGAGGAATGCACGGTCATGATATTCGTGATCGAAGAAAAGATACAGGAAAGGGAAATGCATGCACAGTGAGAAGAGGACTGGAATAGGGACAAGTGAAAGACTGGGGAAGAACAAAATCGGAAAAGTGACAGAAACGGAATCAAATACCAATAATGGCAAGCGATAAACAATGAGCGGAAGAAGACAAAACACGGAAACAGCACGAATGACGCCAAACGGAAAATCAAAACGAATCCGTGTTGATGAACATATCCATATCCAAATTCATTCCCGCGTCTGAATTCGTATTTGTATTCGTGTTCATGTTGGCCGAGGTAGTATTCATCTCGTTTGTGTTCATCGTCTGAGTTAGTGTCTGCGCGGGTTGATGCGCCAAACCAGAACCTGATACCGAAGCAGAAGAGGAAGCAGAAATGCCGTCCGATGTGCCCAAAGCCGAAAACTCATGCCCAAACTCCAATCCACCCAACCCACACGCAAACCACTGGCTCCTCGCCTCATTCATATTAACCTGCTGATTCCATAGCGGTGCAGAGGGACGAAGCGCACGACGAGCTAACTCGTCTAGGTCAATCGTGTCGTCGAAAGCTGAGAACTCGGGAAACTCGAAGTATCCGGACATATCGTTTGGAAAGGCGGCGGGCGTAGGAGCGAGTGCGGGCGTACTTATAGTTTGATCTGTGGATTGCTGCGGGGATTGCTGCGAGGACTGCTGCAAGGATGGTTGCGAGGATGGCTGTGAAGATGGTTCCTGCCGCTGGTCCTGAGTTTGCTCCTGTGAATGAGGCTGAGAATAGGCGAGTCTACGATCAGCGTGTACTGGAATCGGACTATAATACGCGCTTGAAGCGAGGCAAGGTACGTAGCCATGATCAATCGTATATGCCTGTTCTTCTTGCGAGGGGAACGAGAACTCGGGTTGAGTCTGCATCTGCGGTGTGGCTGTTGTCGATTGAGGAAGTGAGAACGAAGGGAACGAGCCGAACAGCCCGTCAAACATACTCGAATATGCGAATGGGTCAACATTGTTTTCGGATTCGGTTGGCTTTGTGTGCTCATTGGTGATAGGCAGGTTGTTGGCGTGAGTGTTATCGGCGACGAAGGGGGAGATATCCAATGGGGCGGCGGAGATTTGTGCAGTCGACGGTTCGGGGGAAGTATCAGGAGTCGGAAGCGTCCTTTTCGTTCGAGTCGGTCGAGAAATAGGATTATAGCGTACGCTCTCTCTCATTTGCGTCCTCCTACTCTCCCTTTCCACACTAACACTCGATGTCCCCTCCTGTCCACCTAAAGTGTCATCTCGCATGACATTCTTTCTGGGCGCATATCGATATCCAGGGTATTTCAACTTGTGTATCCTCTTTTCCTCTTCTGCTTGGGCCTCAAACCTTTTCCTCGTCCCTTCATCCGCACTCTTCCAAATTCGAGCAATCTCGCGCGAAGCCTCATTTTGCTGTATGTTCTTAACCATTCCGCGCGCCAGTGCATGCGAGCGAAAGAGGATGAATGCATTTCGCGGTCGAGGGATGTGATTGGGCGACTGGGAGGCGCGTGAAATGTGTTTGCATTTTGGTGGGGCAGAAGAGGAGGCATGAACGGAGGAACCGATGGTCAGGAGTGAAGGTAGGGTAGCGGATTGTGAGTTCGGAGAGGGTGATGGTGTTGGGATTGAGGCGCGAGGATCTATAACTGCGGTAGACGTTTGGTTTTTTGACGCATCAGTGCAGTAGGTCGAATATCCGGTCTCTTGGAAGAAGGCGGAATCGTGTACTGCAAAGTATCAGACAGGTTAGCATTCGGAGCTACGGTGATGATTTATACTGGGGGCTAAAGGATCATACCAAAGGGTGGCACATCCGGCGGGATGACTGACGATGATGTCGTCGCCGTGTTACGGAACCGAGGCATCTTTCAATGTTCAGCAGCCACCGGGAACAAATTTATGGAGAGGGAGGAAGAAGAGAAAAAGGCAAAGGCAGATGTCAAGGTGAAAGAGCAGACGTTGACGGGTCCAAGAACGCAAGGGCCTGGGCTAGTTTTTATATAGATCTTCAAACACAAGATGAGATGTGTTGAGATGAAACGAAGAGAGCTATAACAGTAACATACATATATCCCCTCACTCTGGCAGCCCATCGCAACACATGGCTAGATAGGACGATCGAGACAATGCCGAACAGCAATTCATCTGGTTACTTTCGGCCCTGCAAAAGATCGAAGACGAAGAAGCGCAGAGGGAAAGAACAAGCACCGCATTTTTGCGAGCAAAGAACCCTGAGTGACCTCCAATCCTTCGGACCGCTTTGTGAGTGTCACAGGGGGAACAGAGCAATACACTAAGCACACTAAACACGAAAGCGCATAGAGAGATTTTCCTTATTCATAGCCTATCGAGGAAAGTAGGACCCGAAGAGGCAGGGATTAACGTGGACAACGAGTGTGCAAAAAGGACAACACGAGGCAAGAACAGGAATACGGCGAGACCCCCGGAAGCTGTCGGTATTGCTTTCTTTGGGTCTGGCTGGCAGAGTAGATGGGATTGGACCCTTGAAAAGAGGAGCCCTTTGGCCACCGTGTGGAATCTGAGATAGCAATGACCGCGTAGGGACGGCGGAGGGGAGCACGTTGCGTAGGTCTTTGACAGTGTCAGTTATTACGTTTCGTCGCCGAGGCGCAAGTACCACTACATAGCAATATAAGTCGGCAACAGCGACAAGCCTTTCCCAAAGAGGATATACGAGAGTGAGAATGGTGTATCGGTCTGGGTCTGGTGAAGAAATATCGAGAAACGTGGTGAGAAACGGAGTGATAAAGTACACTGATGCTGCGAAGGGGACATTGAATGACACGACGAGTTGGTGATCATACATGCAGAGATGAGCACGTTGCACACGGGAACGAGGCAAGCACCAGTAGCAGCACTCCATGCAAAGCCGTCAGTGGTCCAGAGTATCATGATAACATAATTATTGCGTCTGTAGAGTAGGTGCGCATCTATAGTGCGATCGCTGCCAGCATCGAGAGACCTAGCGACAAGACAGAAAAACAAGAAGCAGAATCCAGATCTAACTCTGAGGCGAGGACAACGTCGCGGAAGGCACCTCGTCACCACGTGACCGCTCGGGTTACCCAACGCGCGCGTCTACTGTACGCACTTCACTCCAGTCCGGTGCTACTCATTTTTCTTGTTTTTCTCTTCATTTTCTCATCTATCTCCTTTCGTTTGTCGATGCCATCTAATCGCGAGGTGCAATCGATCGCCTCGACGCGCTTATCGCGTGTCTCTAATGTAAAGTCGTCTGTTGCACCGTCTGTCACCTCGACGCGAGTAGCGCGCGTACGCACGACGAGTCTGCTTTCTACAAACTCGAAAGCTTCGTCTCTTTCTGCTGCCTCCAAGGCCAAGACGATGACCAAAGGGCAAGCTCCGTCCGCCGCTGCGGCTCCGACAAGGGGAAGATCCGTCAGTGGCGAATCGGATACTGCAACGTCAGAGACGGTACGCGCACCATCGCCTTCGCCCACACGTGTAATGCATGCGCGCCCGCGTACGGTGAGCACAAAGTCAAGCGTCGCATCTTCCGCCGCGCCGACACGCGTTTCGCGGCCGCCAAGTTTTATGAAGACATCGCAATCATCCGAGGCAGACTCTCTATCTGTGTCCAGTAAACAGAAGAAACGATCGCCGAACGCAACACCTGTGCCAACGGCGATGAATAAAAGACTATCGAGCTCGATTCCTCAGGCTCTGGCGCGTCGGGCGGCCTCGGGGTCGCCCATTACGAGTTTAGGTAATAGTGCTGCTGGTTCGCCTGGTGTTGTACGCGCGAATACATCTCCCGCTGTTCTGACGGCGAACAACGGTATATCTACAACACCTGTCAAGTCGCCGCCACAGCCTGGCATTCGCTCACGCGTCAACTCATCCAACCTGTCGCCGACTCCAATGAAGTCCAAGCTCAATCCACCTATCCAGCCAAGCACACCTTCTCCAAGTCCGGGCCGGAATTTAAAGTCCAAGTCATCAACCATGTCCCTCTCGGACTTGCGTGCCTCACCGAAGGTGAACTCCCCAAGGGCAAAAGTATCAACTCCTAATGCAAAGAAAACACCTGCAAAGAGTGCACACCCGACTCCCCGTCAGACTTCTGGCACGTCAACGATTGGCCCCTTAAATGGGAGTTCACCACAATATGAATCGGGCTTGCAAAATATGCTGATGGGTTCCAGTTCGCCAACACAGTTCAGCTCAAAATTTGAGGCGGAACTTTCGTTCAACGGTTCGGCAAGCGTATGGGATGATGGCGATATGTCATTCGACATGGTAACCCAGACAGACGATGGTGCAGTAGATGAAGTGGTAAATCTGTTTCCTGCTTGCAAAGTATTATTTTTCTAAGCTCACCTGTGATAGTTCATGGAGGCCTTGGATAATGTCAAGGGCATACATGCACGTTCAATGACGCAATACCGTCGACTTCTCGAGCAAGCACATGGCGCCTCCGCCGCACAACTTCACGCTCTGCAGGCTGAGTTGCGCGTTCTGCGTGCTTCGATTGAGGACGAACGCGCTACTGCACGTGCTATTGAAATGGAGCGTGATCAATTACAGATGCAACGCGCTTCGGGATATCAACCACAAGACGACTTGGATTTAGCAAGTGTTCTACGCGGTGATGGACGAGGCAAGTTTAATGAGATCGAGGTGAGGAAAGCTGTGAAGATGTTGAAGATGCCGGATCGCGTGCGACTGTAAGTGTACCAACTTTGAAACGTGAAGTGAAACTGACCTCTTGTCCCAAACCAAACAGATTAGCTATAATCTTGGAATGTACGCTTGAATGCTCTCGGATTAATGCCTCTGTTCTTACGATTATTCGGTTCTTGAAACAGCATGTATGCCCGGAGATATTCGTACACAAATCGGGCTGCTCGAACGATACCTCAAAAGCACATTTGACATCGTTGGGAACCTCGCTCCCGAGATTGCTATTAAAATTCTCAAGTACCTCACTGTTCGAGAACTACTGGGAGTTGAACCGGTACGTGGACACTAATCACATTGTTCCGTCGATGCCCTGTGCTAAGACAGTATCAACGACAGGTGTCGAAGAAATGGCAAGCGCTTGTGCATAACCCTGCGATATGGCGGCACCATTGTTTGGTGCTGACAGCTACGGACCCTATCCCATTGAGGCCACCGCCTACTCCGGAAGGATGGTACGGACGTCTGTTGTCACTACCGGTCTGTTAGCTAAAGTGCTATATTTGTAGGGAACCTCTGTATAGATCTCTCCATCACCGTGAAGCCAATTTCCACTATGGTCTTCCGCAGACCTTGCGTCTCCTCAACGGACATACGAATTTCTGCACTACTTTGCTTTTACGAGGTAATGCACATACATTTTCTCGGGCTCGGTTTCCTATGTTGATTGATTGACTGTGTAGGAAAGCGGCTGATCAGCGGGTCTTACGACGAGACAATTCGGTTCTGGGATATCGAGACTGGGGAGATGAAGAAGTGTCTTCAGGTCAAGAAGCCAGTCAGTTGTATCGACTTCCTATTGGAAGAAGGTTCGTGCGTTTCTTCCACCAGTGGTTATTTCCGGCTGAACAGTTTTCTTTTTTGCAGAGGTCTTCGTCGCAGGGTTCCATGATGTTGGGTGAGAATATCCACGTTCCAACCTTATCGTTTCAACTGTTCTAATTATTGCCTTCACTTAGACGCGTCCACCTCTATTCTTCAGTCACTTTCAACCCACTCCAACAACTCGCTGGACACCTCAACGGTATCCGTGCCGTCGCACTCTCTTCTCGAAACCTCGTCTCTGCAGGTGCGGATAAAGCACTTGTATGCTGGGACTGGCGAACGGGTACGAAGATAGTGCGTTTCGGTCAGCAAACGACGGTAAATATCGGTGTGCAAATCATTTCCGGCGACGCAGAGACGGGAGAAAGGGTAGTTAGCGTGACGATTGACGGATTCGTCAGGGTTTTCTCTATTGGTTAGTGGAAATTTTTGTCTTCGTCGTCATGTATCAAGTGCTGAGAAATTTGGGTCGTAACTAGCGAAAAGAGAGATGATTTCGCAGTTTAAACTTTCTGAACTAGGTGGGAATGACCCTGTTTTAAATTCGAAGTTGTTCAACGTTGGCCGTGCACCGGATAATATGCTACAGTACGTGTCTTGAATTCTGTCATTAAAGTTCTCATCTCAACATGCTGTAGATGGTTTGCCGCAAAAGGGACGCAGATGACCGTACGTCCACTTATTCATGAATCCTCACAAGATGTTCGTTTAATGGCCGATAATAGTGCGCTACAAAATCCGTCATCTTACATCTCCAATGGACCGAGAGCGAAGCTCAACCGGAAGACGTGACAAGTCCCACAGCCCTAGACTCCGCATCTCCTATTTCACCTCGCGCAAACGGAGCCAACGGCGCACCACTCAAAAATCGACAATCGCTCGTCAGTCCTCTTGCGCGCTCTGTATCCTCTTATGGCGGTCCACGCAAGAAGGTACTTAGCATGTCGGCTTCGTCACGGCCATCGCCTCGACCCTCGCTCTCCATTCCCAGTTCAGCGAACTCGTCATTGTCATTTTCCTCTTCGAGGAGTGGCTCGCCTGGCTCGCCGTTCTTCAATGTGCGTTTTGGTCAGGCGGCAGTATTGACCGCGCCACCTCGGCTTGTAGCTGTTGTTGAGACGCCTGATGTTGCACTTGGGTGTGTGGATGCTCAAAAGAGAAGGGTCGTTACTGCGACGAGATTTAGTAGTCGAGCGGGTGCTGATCGTCGGGTATGTTCTTTCGTCGCACTGTTCAATTGCATGTTCGTTCATCTCGCCTTTATGAATCTTCTAGATATTCATATCCACGCATCGAGACGAGTCACTCTCTTCCTCCACTTCCCAGCACAACGAAACAGAATCAACAGAGTCCAACGAGTCACGTGCCGACCCGACTAAGTTCAGTACTGATATTACGGCTTTATCTGGTGTCTGGGGTGCACTTGCGAACGTCGATGAAAATGGTGTCGCACCAGTATTTACGGATGTGAAAGGCGTTCTGGGTAATTTCCCCGCGAAGTTCCAGGGTCTGGCGACACCTGCGATGAACCCGATGTCGATGCAACTTACGCATGAGGAGGTTGTTGTTGGCTGTGCCGATGGCACAATATAGTAAGCACCCTGCTATCCCTTTTTTCCTTGAAAAGGGTAGTATGCTGATCTGATGTCTGTTACCCCTTCTTCCTTGTGTCCGTACGTAGTGTGATGAGCTTCGTGGGACACGAGTATGCCCTCCCACCTCGGAAGAAAATCGCCGATGACGAGGACGAAGTAAATGAAGACGAAGGACTTGACGAGGAAGATGAATACGAAGACCAAGACGAAAGGCTTTCTTCTCCTGAAAATTTCGATATGTAGGCCGATCGTGCCCGCGTAGTAACTCCGTTTTGCATGATTATGACCCACTTTATGAATACAAAATACTCCTTCGTACACTCTTTATAACTCTTGATTTCCAACCACTACTCTCCTTTTTTGCTCTTGATTCACTTCATGTCCTTTATACCTCTATACACCTCGCTATCGTATTGTATTATCCATTTGTAAATTCTCCCTGCCAGCCTCTCCCACTTTTGTTTTTGATACCTTTTAACAAACAACTGCCTACTCTTTCTTTCGTATACCTACACAGCACTGGAATAGCCCGGAAAAGTTGGATCGGATTGGATCGGATTGGTGTTTGGTTAATGATGTTGTAAATACCTACATAGACAGATTTATGACGACCCCTCTCCTTTTACAAATTGTTTTGTCATTTTTGCCACTTTACTTCTCTATTGCTATTGCACACTGAAATAAAATAAGTTTTTAAAGAAACCCTCTTTGTACCCAAAAAAACTTGTGAGTTTCTGAGAATCATGTTGTATGTCTTATATGTAGCTTCAAGCCGTATGCATTTATGCTTAAATTTGTGTTTACTTGAAGGTCAATACATATCATACCATTATCGCACGCTTTATTCTAGTATCTTATCACTCCCACACAGCACTACCAAGACGTTAATTCATGGTGCCTTTTCCATTGTCCCCCTCCTTTCACTCCCTTCCCATCCATCACAAGACTAATCAGCGGGAACACAAACAATTTGAGCCATCCAACTCTCGCCTACACCCGGGCGCACACTCCCACTTCCATCCTTCGAGTTACTTGTAAACGAAGACGAAGTGTGCACGGCCTCGATTCCCCATCCTGATTGCGAGAGGAGCGAGTTGAAGTGCGAGAGCGTGCGTTCGCATGCGTTGTGGTTTGATAGCATCTGCCGTTTTGATGGTGTAAATGCAGGGAAAAGTTAATCATTAGACAGGGTCAAATTTACCGGACAGAAGGGCAAAAACGCACAATCAAATCAAACCTATACGCCAACCCATTCGCAACGCCCCAGTTCGCGAGGAGCGGTTCGGGTGCCTCTTTCGTACTCATCTTCTCTCCTCCATCTTTACCAAAAGGTGCTTCCGAAGTGGACGCAGAAGTAGGGACTTGACGACGATAGGCTCCCATCAAAACACTATCCACGATAACCAACCGCGTCTCGCGTCCCGCAGCAGCGCGGAGGTGTTTGAGAATTCGAATACAATGGGGGTCCGGCCAGTCGTGTATGATCATACGGAGGAGGAAGACCGCTGGAGATCCGTTCGTCACTCCAGGAGCATTACTGTAGGTAAAGCGAGAGTCGCGGTCGGATTTGGATAATTGAAGATAGAAGAGATAAAACGAAATTGACATACGTGGGTTGCGGTTCAAAGAAATCTTGAACCTGAAACGATACACGATTGGCGTGGAGAGCTTCCGGGTACTGACGTTCCCATACCTATCACCACGAAACAGGCGGAATATTTTATTCATCATCAGTAAATGGCGGTAATGAATCTCAAGTGATAAAATAAATGGAGGGGGGTTGGAAAAGAGAAACTCACACTAGGTGCGACTTTCACGACCTCCTCTGTGTCCTGCACCATAAGCTTCAAATGGAGGTTTTCACGGAGGATAGGCAGTGAAGCTGCCCCGACACCTCCTCCTACGTCAATAATGACTGACCCGTGGGGGAGAGACGCGAAATCATAACCTATCGAATAACGATAAAGGAATTTACATGCATGTCAAAATAAAAGTTTAAAGGAAGATTGAAAAAGAAAGAAGAGAAACTTTTAGATCAGATCACACCTAAATGCAGTTACGAGTAAAAAATAAAGGACCCACCATTCAATACTTCCGTCTCCCCACCAGACCCTAAAGCCCCCATACTACGCATCGCACACCCAAATCGATGCAAACGATGTGCATTGGAAGGGAGGCTGAGCCAGTCGAACATCGCTTTGTCTGGCAGGTTGCGTGCGAGGGAGAAAGCAGTGTTAAGTGGAGAGTCCTCTGGATCTTCGGACTTTATTACAGAGGATGACTCCTGATTTGTAGATGTACTTGGACGAGACTTAGAACGATTGTGAAGAAGCACATCGGTAAGTGCTGTTGCATGGAACATCGACTCGTCCGTCCTAACGATTAATCCAAACATCAACAAAGTAATAAAATAAAATAATAAAATAATAAATAAAATAAAATAAAATGTTTTAAACTAAGCTCACATAATCCCAACGAGTGCAGAAAGTGCCGCTCCTGGCGCCTCCCCGCCGTACTTCGCTGCCCACCGTTTCTTCCGTATTTCTTCTTCCTCATGTTCGTCTCTAATCAGGGTGTTTTCAATCTTTCTGCGCTTCTCCTCTCTTTCTTCTGAATTCGTTCTAGCACCGTTTGAATAAGGTTGATAATTCTGTAGCAAGGTCGGATCCAAGATATCCTCAAGTTTAGCACCCGAGTCGAGTGCTGCACTGAGGCGGTTATTTGCAAAACGTGCTTCTCCTTCGCCGTGTTCGCTCCTGACTTCGGGCGGGGCGCTCGTATTGAGCTGAGTGTTATCATTTGTATGAGAATGTGATGATTGAATGGGTGGGCACTCGGCAAAGATATGATGCGTTGCGAGGAGGCGGAGCATTCGTTCTGTTGACGAATTCAGTATTTACATCCAGAGTATATCAATATCAAAGTTGAAAGCACGAAACATGGGGACGGGTGCATCTCTCGTATGCGGGGATAAGGGCATGAACGGGTCGCATCTTACCGAGCTTTCCGGCATGAACACCACACAGTTGAGCAATATCAGATACGGCAACGCCCCAATCCTCATTCGTCTCTCCACTATTCTTAGAAACATTATTTTCGACCGTAAGGGCGCGTATCACTTCAGGAACATTCGCCTCGGTAACAAAACGCAGAGCCGCTGAGAGCGTGAACTACGGCAAACAACAGTTCATATAGCTTCAATGGATAAGAGAATGCAACGTACCCCCGTAGCGACCTCAATCACAACTTGTTCAGGCGGACGAACAAGCGCAGCAAGCTGAGTCGCAGCACTTACAATCGTCGGTATTGCGTCTACACAATTCGTACAATTATCGACATCTTTCGTTTGCGACTCGAACTGAGCTAGACTAGAGCTGATGAGGTCTACGAGACGTCGTGCTTGTGGGATGTCGACGTCCATTGTCGTTAGCAAAGTCAGCTCAGCAAGAGGGAACACTCTTTGTAACGTAAAGCAAGATGTCTACGTCTTGGCCAGGAGGCTTCGTAAGCAGGAACGGATAACCGAGGAACGAGCGCAACATTCTACGATCCATCTTCACTGCTTCATGCGTCAGAAGACCGGGTCGCATAGTATGAAACCCGTATGGCAAGTATGAAGCGCTAATTGCAATCGACAGTCCTCGTGTTGCATTTCTGGATCATCAAATCGAGAAAGTTAAGCCGTCAAGCCGTCAAGTTGTCAAAGTCTTCCATCTTGTTTACTGGATTGATAGACCAACGATACAAGATCGAGTAGGAAGCCGGTTCTCTGGCGTCAAATGTAACCCCTGCTTTCAATTTTTACTGAGACGCTCAGACAATCACCCCAACACTGGTACAGGAAGACAGACACAGTACGCGCTGGTAATGTGGTATGGAGAACAAATGGAAAAGGGATTTAAAGTGCGAGTCAAGTTGTTCCATGCCAGGTACGCGATTTCTAAATATGGCATGTTCATCTGCACGTGCCTGCGGGGTTCGAATTGTGTGCGGTACAAATGAGGAAATGACGTTCTCTTTGAGGGAACCAAATGTCTTCTCGTGTTCTGTGTTGACTCGCCGACTGCCCTGCGGATATGTCACTTGTCCTGCTGTATGCTCTTCTTTCTAGCTCTGTTTCTGAGACATATGCCCCGTATTGGCACGTAATGTACCACTTGGTTTGCACATTCTTATCGCAGCACCCTGCGAGTTGGAACACATCTTGCAGAGTAGTGCAACAGTGATACTGCATCTTCATATAGCTGTCTAGTCAATCAATCAATCTGTGGACCAACTCCGCTTGTCCGAACACACATATGAAGATGGACGTATCTCGTATTCGTTCTGCTCGCCTGTTTGTCTGCTCCGTTCTGACTGCTGCTAGTATGCTTCGCCTGTTCAGCCGTACAAGTAGGATATACTCGGCATAGTAGATAACTAGATTCTTTAATACAGTCTTTACTGTACTACCGGGCTTCGATGATAGAGTCCAATATTTGACCGATAGTCATGTTCTGGTCAAATGCGAGGTAGACTAGTGCTTGGAATTTATCGCGTTCTAGTAGGTGTACGCACTAAAGGATGGACTCTCAAACCCCTTATGCTCTCACTCGCGACGCGTTTGTCTTCCACCCGGCTGCCCACCCTCGACTATCGCCACCATCACCGCATCTGCTGCACGCCGCTGACCGGACTCCTAATTTCTTCCGTTTGACCTTCCGTCTTCTTCCACCAGTTCACCCACTCTGTGATTTGTCCTATTTCCATCGCTCTCCAAACTGTCTCCTCTCTTATCGTACCTAAATGTCCAACCCGGAACAAGACATGTGTGCCACTGAGATTCCACAGAAGTGCCAGGTCCTCGTAATTGGTGGTGGACCTGGCGGGTCGTATGCCGCCTCTGCACTTTCCCGGGAGGGTATTGATGTCGTTTTGTTGGAAGCAGATGGATTTCCTAGGTGCGTGCCTCTGTCAATTGAAACCAATCTGTTGGCCTTTCTGATGTGGTTACTGACATCTATCTTTTGTTGCGCAGGTACCACATAGGAGAAAGCATGCTAGCATCTATGCGCCATTTCCTTCGGTTCATTGACTTGGACACGAAGTTCGATGCATACGGGTTCACGAAGAAGGTTCGGGTTTTTTGCCTATCCCAGAAGATTGAGGCCTATAATAAGTCAATAATAACAGGTTGGCGCAGCGTTCAAGCTGAACGGCCAGAAACGTGAGGGATGTGCGTTATTCTCTCGGTCTACATATTCCTTGTACATTTATTGACCGTTCAACTTATCGACGGGGCGTCAATTTATTTTTGGGACGCATATAACCAACTTCTTGATCGTTCACAATTATAGTCACCGACTTTCTCGCAGCAGGCGGACCGGAGAACTACGCATGGAACGTCGTACGCTCCGAGGCGGATGATCTGATGTTTCGTCACGCCGGAGAATGCGGAACGCATATATTCGACAGGGTGAAAGTTACCGAGATCTCCTTCGAACCGGTCAACTCCAGCGCCTCTCCTGACGCTAAGTGCGAATACTCCGGTAAGCGTCCGGTCAGCGCTTCTTGGATTCGCAAAGGCCCTTCGAGCACTCCTTCGTCAGACCCAGAGAATGAAAATTCCTCCAAAGGAGAAAAAAAGGGGACAATTGCTTTTGACTACCTTGTTGACGCCTCGGGTCGCGCAGGTATACTCAATACACGTTACCTGAAGAACAGGACATACAATCAAGGGCTAAAGAATGTAGCGAGTTGGGGATACTGGCGTGACGCAGGTGTATATGCATGCGGAACAGAGAGGGAGAACGTGCCATTCTTCGAGGCGCTGAAAGGTATAGTCTGATTTTTCTTTCCCTTCTGTTTGTTGTACTCGCTTTCTTATCGATGGATCTGTAGATGAAAGCGGTTGGGCATGGTTGATCCCTCTGCATAACGGGACGACGAGTGTCGGCATTGTAATGAACCAAGAAATCGCAACAGCGAAAAGGAAAGCTGTCTCGCCCTCCCCATCTTCACGGGAGTTCTACCTGGAACAACTCAAGCTTGCGCCTTCTCTGCTTGCCATCCTACATTCAGGTTCTTCACCCTCTGTCTTACAAAACGGTAAAGAGAACGAGAACAAGGAAGCCAAAGAACCTGCAACACTCATAAGTGACATCAAATCCGCGTCAGACTACAGCTACTCCTCTTCCTCCTACTCCCTCCCCAATGCACGCATAGTTGGCGACGCAGGGTGCTTCATCGACCCATACTTCTCTTCAGGAGTCCACCTTGCACTCACCTCGGCCCTCTCAGCAGCAACGACTATCTGCGCTTCTCTACGCGGAGACTGCGAGGAGAAACAGGCCGCACGGTGGCATGACGTCAAAGTCGGAACATCGTATACAAGATTCTTGATGGTGGTATTGAGCGCATATAGACAGATTCGGAGACAGACGGAACCTGTACTTGCGGATTTTGATGAGGATAATTTCGATAGGGCGTTTGCGTTCTTCAGGCCGAGTGAGTATATTTCCCTTTTCTTATAAAGTAGAGTTCCAATCGATGATATTTGTAGTTATTCAAGGAACGGCGGACGTAAACAGCAAACTCTCACAGGACGTGTTATCCAAAACGCTCGACTTTTGTGCGCATGCTTTCGAGCCGACGCTTCCTGAAGACCGCGAGGCGGTACTTAAAAAACTCAACGGTTCTGCCTCGAAAACCATCTCCAACGGTCACACAAAAGGCCATGCAAACGGCCTCGCGAACGGTCATACATACGACAAGAAGTCTAACGGAGACATAAATCCAGAACCAAGCCTAAGCGAAGAAGACATCCGCATCCTTCGACACATCCGTGCACGCGAGATGATGCGTACGGAGGATACGATGCACGTCGGGAGTTTCTACACCGATGTGATCGATGGTTATATCGTGAGAGGTGTTCGTGGTTCACTTGGCTTGAGGAAGCTAGATGGCTAGAAGAAGGCGTAACAAGAAAGAAGAGAAGAGAACGAAGAAATCAAACGCTTTACTGAACTCTGAAATCGCTGTGAACTTACGACGAAAGAAACACTTGAGGGTAATTCTGTGTTTTGAACTTCTGGACTTGGACTGTATCGCACCACACTTGCATCATGACATGAACCAGTGGCTACTGTACTGAAAACAATCAATTATTGATATTAATTCCGGAAAACAATGCATTAATAAAATCTTAAGTATGATAGTCTTATCAGGAAATTATGTGGCTAATTTAGTGATAGCCACGGTCAGGTCATGGATCAGACATTTCCCAGAGAATTTCCTGACCTACTTTGACCTGGCCTGACCCTGACCTGACCTGGCTATCACTAGTAGCTATTACTAATAAGTAATACCTTTATGTATGATAGTTTCAGGTTTGTAATAACTGTTTATCTATCTTCTGAATACCATATGATTACATTGCAAAATTGCTAAGAAAATTATGATCTAAATTATACTCTCATTCTTTATTACCTCCTCCATTCCCTAGACTGAAACAGCTGACTAGAAGAATGAAAGTTAAATTTAATTAATTAAAGCACACATTTGAGGATATATAAATTGTAAAATGAGCCAGCATTAAGTATAATTTGCTAGAGATAGAAGGACTATTACTAGTGTGTGTGTTGAATGCATGAAGTAGTACTAGCGATAATTGGTGATGACTAAATGAATGAATAGTTCAGAAATAATCAACATGATGAGAAACACTTATGTTTTCATGAAATAGTGTTAGGACCAAAATCCACTGTCCAGGTAAGTAATCAATATTCAGAATAAAGCAAGAGATAGTAAAGGCTGCTTTCTCATATTGAGTATAGTTTAATTTTCTTGAAGAATCATCTAATATACTGCTGCTAATCAATATTCTGACTCTTGCAGAGGGATTTGGAAGATGGCGATCACGGTCAGTTTCAAACTCCGTTAGAATGCCAATACTGAAACGCGACGATCCTCGTTAAGTCGTTCTAACCAACTGCCACTGGCAATAAAATTTTCTCTTTGCAATACTTTCTTTTGAGATACTGCCTTTTGGTGTGCTGGATCGGTAATTAAGCCTCTCAAAACACAGCCTGTAGCACCCATTATAGCCTCAACGCCTAATCACATTTTTTCTTCGGTAGAATCTGCATATCGCGTTTTTGCTCTACGCTATTATAAGATGACACTGAATCCGAATGACTTTGCGTTCTTTTGCGCCGGAAAACAAGGAATGCAACTACTTACGTCGACTCGGACTCGGGGGATCTCTGGAATTAGACATTTATGTCAAATACCTTGCTCGACTCGGCGTTATTGAGACGCCACACATCCATCGCTCCCTGTTCCGCAGGTCTCTTATTTGTCAAGTAACACGAGCCTAGGACAATTCCCACTTTGATCACGAAATCACTTTAGTTGCGAAAATTTACGGTCATGCGCTTCTATATCCCCAAGTGGACTGGATGGGTCGCAAGAAGAGCTGTTTGGTTCGCCACAACGAAGCAAACAGTGCTGCAGCCTACTTTGCTAGTACTGCTATCGAGAATCTGCCTCGTACCATTACGCATAGAACCCTAGGAAGAAATGACGCAACTGGGGTAGACGCCACGGAACCCAGAATCTCTCTTTTGAACTACATTCTATCCAGCAGCACGGGCTTGTCAGCGCAGAGGGCTTCCAATGGACCTCTTGACGCACTTGTCCTCACACTCATCGAGACATGATGGCCCAGACATCGAAATAGTTGAAGGTGAATAATTGATTTCTAGCCCTTCCATATGTCTGTAACCAAGTCTATTTTATTACAAGCGTTGCAAGAATACGACCCGAACTACGCTTATGAACTCAAATGGAAAAGGATTGAGAAGGGCGATAACAAATATGAACTCCAAAGTGCGCTTCGTGTCGCTTTCCTACAGTTCATACATTATACTAATTCGTTGTCCTTATCCCACTTTCACAGTCACGGCTGTACCTTCGCATAGAGGCGAAGACAAAATTGTACACAAGTATGAAGGTAAGAGCCAGTCAAGTCTCAAGTCAGACGCGATAGCCAAATGGAAGGAAGAAAGTGACGTCAAAGCGAAGAAGGAGGAAACCAGAAAACCTAAGAAGGGAGACAGTCACAAAAGACATGGCGAAGTGATCGAATCGCAAACCGCAGACGGTGAGGCCGTGAAGGAAGAGCGGGATAAGCATGGGGGAGGTCCAAGGAAGCGCAGATTTGAAGAAGATGAAAAAGAAGTGAAACCTAAACATAAAAAGGTCAAGGAAGGTGATAAGTCTGGCAGAGGATCCGAAAAGCCTCCAGTGGCGGACGCAGACAATAAGGTCGACGATCCTGACGCTCACGCGAATGGAGAAGAAGCAGGCAAGAGACGCCGCGAACGTCACTATGATAAGCAGGTGTGTCGTAGCATATATCTTCATCAGTCCCTTGGTTAATTGAATGTGTTATGCTACTTTTGTGGTGTCCGCAGTCGAGAGGAATCTGACGCATTTATTGACGATGCAGATCCACGAACGCCTCGTTACAAAGACTTCATTTCAGCGTAATGGACGGGATTGTGATGTCAGTGGCACGGACTGTAAACTTCTGTGTTGTAGATTATAGGACACAGAAATGACTTATACCCTAAATTCGTATTATTCTCGTTGTACACTTGCATACATTCTATGTTCCCGTTGTTCATATGTGTGAGCA